AAAAAAAAAAATCTGGTGCGCACAACACACAACTTTCACTTACCGATCTACTATGAATAGAAATTATTTTCTGGCAATGCATGGAAACAAACTAGAGACCATATCTTTCCTCCTAGTAGTTCGATCTTAATTATTTTTTTTTTGTTTTTTTAGAAAATTCCAAAAACTTTTAAAAACCAATTACAATATCCCCCAAAAAGTGTATACTTTTTGAGTTATTCGGAATTTAATTTTACCATCCCTCGTAACTTTTTTTCCAGCTTCTTTTCGTTGAAGTATGTTATATAGATAAATTTAAAGGGTGTCGAGAAAATGACTTTAGCAAAGTTTCATTGAAATCGGTACATTCGTTTAGGCGCTACAGTCTATAGCAACACAGGTTTTTCTGCATTTTTTTTTCTCCTTTATTAACTTATTAAATTCTTTCAAAAGTTATATTTAGCATTTTTTCATTACTTTGAATAATGTGAAATGATTAACTTTTTAAAATAAACCATATTAAAGGTACTTTAGAGGAAGACGTATATGAACATTGGGCATTTAAGCTCTGTAAAGTTACTTCAATGGGGATAAGACCTAATTCATATTAAAGACCACTTAATTATACAATGATACACTGAGTTTAATCAAAATCGTTAGAGCCGTTTTTGAGAAAATTGTGAAAATGTGTTTCAGCGTTGATATAAAGTGGTACTTCCGGTTAGCCGATTTTAAGGAAAAAGTTGCCGTCACATCCAAGGCAATACGTAATATCAGTTTTGTAGGACTTTTCGTTTTTGAGCTAGACTGCTAACATACAAACACACAGACCATTTTTCGGAACTTGGTCATTTCGACTCAGGGTACCTCAAAACGTCTATTTCCGTTGAAAACTCAGATTCAAAAATTTTCTCGATCGCAATACTTGCCCTTACTATATATTACATATATACGTAAGTGAAAGTAAAAATAATTGTATCAAATCAAAAATTACTTAGGAGCTTATAAAGCTCATTTATAACCTGATAATATTAATCGTAACAATATTCTCTAGTGGTTGAAATAAATTTAAACTTTAATGCTTAATCAGTTTCGGTATGATTGGAATCTTTACTTTAATTTTTTTTTTTTTTCTGTTACTTCGGAACTAGAGCTTTTTCTCTTGAAACATTTCAAGTAAAGGTTTTAAAGTACATTCATTTAAAAAAGAAGAAAATGCTTTTATTTAAAAGTTTTGCTGAATCCACCCTCCCTCTAAAAAAAATCTAAAAAATGACTTTTATTCTTAATTACTCAGACAAACAACATATTAGAATCAAGAGATTTGTTTAAAATAAATTGAAACTCTAATATAACCCCCATGACTGTTTATTTCTCATTCATCATTTTTAAAGAACTTAAATAAATAAACTTTTATGATAAACCTAGAACTTCATTACAAAAAATTACCTTAAAACTTTTGATAAGTAGAATGTTATCTACTAAAATATAATAAAAAGGAATAAAAATTATGTTGTGTAAGGTAAATTAAAATTATATTTTAATTAAGACAAGAGCACTTTTTTTATTTTCACACAAGGCTATTTAATACAAAGGACAGTTAATGCATAGTCAGTTGATAAGGGTCTACTGTAATTAACTAAATGAAAGGAACATTCCTTAAATTATCTATGTGTCAGTGAAATTAGCATTCAAACATAGACAATTTATTTAACAACCAAAGATTATATGAGCTTTTTAGGTTGACAGAATGACTAACTCGAATTTCACTGTACAGACAGTGAGTAAGCTGTTTCCAGAATAAGAGATTGCAGTGTTGAAATATGGGACTGTGAATAAAGGTATAAATTTTCCAACTAGAAATATAACGAAAATTACTTTACTCAAAAATGTTGAAATTGAAGTTAGTCATTCTGTAAACTGAAAGGCTCATATCCCCTAAAGGCCAACAATTATTAGGAAAAATATATTTTTATTTATCATCTTTCCCTTAGAGTTCATAAGATATAGAATCCCTCATATAGATCCCGATCCCGATGAAAGACCACATAACTCCAGCCAATGCTTACACTAAAGTGCGGCCTCAAGGAAGATCATCTATCTTGATCTGGCATCCTTCAGTAGAAAGGTTTCACATTTTTTCTCCTTCTTTATCCATCTCCTTTTTCTTTGAACGGACCATAAACTCTTCTAAGAAATGATCTCAGAAACACTTTTTAATATTTTTGTTAACAGCTCCAAACGCTTAAGCCATAGATTACAACGGAGCTTAGAATTATTTCGCAGAAGCTAATCTATGTCTAACTTGGCAAATATTGCTCTTAATTAGACTATAATAGCATCTGTTGGTAGTTGTTGATCTCTTCAACTAAAACTCCGAACTGCAGTTAACAACTGACTATCCGACGTTGGGATCCAAATCAAAAGAAAGAAACTGCATCACAATACCTCAATCAGTAAGCAAATCGCAAGTATTTAATTTTTTCCTTGTTTATTAACAGACTTCACCTCCTCTCTCTTTCCAAGAGCAGGGTTTTGTTATTTTAGTGTGAGCTAAGCCTTGACCATTATGTCTATCATTAACATATCCAAGAAGTTGTATTGCACAAAGAATGTTTGAATGCTTGCGTGTCGACGAAAATATGTTTGGCAAAGGAGTTGGTAAATAATAATAACAACTTTTTATCAGTTTATGGCCAACTTCAGAAGCTTTTAATAATTTTGTATATCAAATTAAGTCACTTTGCCTTTCCCTATCATGGCTATAGTTTTTCGATTTATTTTGTGGTATGTTTGCTTTTTTAAAATTTTTTTGTTTTTAAAAATATTAAATACTAAAAAAAATACTTGCCAAAAAAATGTAATATTAAAGGTGGATATAGTCTTCTTTCTTCTCTCTTCTTGAAATTTACATATTTAAAATTATTTTCAATACTTTTAAGATAGTACAAATAGTTCTACTTATGAGAAAGACTGAATGTAATTATTTAAAAGAGGTTGATTACAGAAATAAAAGAGATAAACAAACAAGAAATAAATCTGTTTAAGTAATATTATTCAAAATAAACAGTATGGATAAAATTCAAACTTTTTAAGTTTTGAAAATTAGTTCAGTAAATAACAATTTACAAAAATGTGACACTCTCTTGCTTGCTGCAATTTGCATTCTTCCTTCTTGATTTTAAAATATTCTCAACTATTTGAGAACATGAAAGTGAACACATTTAATATAACAATTTTTTTTTTCATTGTCCTAAAAAACTTGTCAAAATTAAGAAATTTCACTAGGTTAAAAAATGATTGAAATGAGAATTGGTAAAATGTTTAGAAACCAATAGTATTTATTAAAAATAAATAAAAATTGTTTCACTGATAAAACCTATTCCTTCTTATCCAAGTTTTTCTGTTCTTGGAGAAAAAAAAGAAAGAAGTTTGACTGATACTCCTTACACAGAACTAATGCCTTTTTGATGTCTTCAAATGAAATAAATATTATTCCAGTAAAAATATTAAGAAATAATAATGATAAAATAAAAAGAAGTACTATTTTCATAAGCTACAATTTTAATAAATCAGTATAAAAATTAAAAATTTTACTTATAGAGATTTTGTGACTGAAAGCCTTAGGGTTCAAATTACAATAACTGGGAATTTTAATAACGAAACTGGTCACCAATAAAAAATTGATACCACAAAATATACTTTTCTTTCCACTGATATATTTTATTTTATTTTATTTTCAAGTTAAATATTAATTAATCATAATGCAATATTTTATTTACCATGACAGCTCAAATTTTTGTTTATTCCAAACTTTCTTGACTGGTAACTCTTCTCCATTTGTAACAAGCTAATATACTTGTAAATGAATCTTAGCTCTTCAACGTAATTGCCATTGATTGAGCCCAAATAGAAACAGATAAATAATTTTTTTTTCTCTTCTTTATAACTATTTAAGGGAATAGAGTAGAATCAAATCTAATTCTATAAGATTAGATTTGATTTGGTGATACAATTAAATGAATCACAAAACATACACAATGGTAATAATAATGAAATAGTTACAAATAGGCTAGTAATATTATAAAACTGTAATAAATAAAAATAAAAATATTAATTAAACAAACATCTCTAAGAAACATAAACATGCAATACATCTTTTATTCCAAAATTTAAAATTCCATAAATATGAAAGAGCAACAAAAGGGATCAAAATTACTAATCACAACAGAAACATTGCTTTATGGACACCCACATATCTATCAACTTAAAAGAAGTACCTCAGAACTGGTTTCTATCAGAGGAAATTTTTTAAATATGTATCATTAAATTAACTTCAATATCATTTTGTAAAAACTGACATTAGATCTAGTAAAGTTGAAGTTGAAGACAATGCATATAAGACAGGAGTTAAGTAAAACATATGTATTAATTTTTTCTGTTTTCCCAAGAGGATCGTTTAATATTATATTCACTATAGTTCTTCATATAAACTCAGCAATATTAAAATAAAAATTTCATATTAGTTCCTACCCAGAAAATGATTGAGATTAGCAAAGACTAGAAAACCATATAGGGTTACCTTTAAGACAGTGCAAAACAGGCCTCTATCTGCAGAATGCTAGAACGGAGAGAGGGGAGGGGGGTATTACTTGAACGGAGCCAAGATCATACAGCACTCAATTGAGTAGACTAATAATCGTGTCATACGTCATGTTTAATTCCTTTACAGAAATCTAATTTATGATGGGCATAACAGAAAGGTCAAACATGGATAGTAATTAAACTCCAAGCATTGTACAAATATTTCAATAGAAACAAAAATAGAAAAAATTTAAAAGTTATTAAACTGCTTGCATATGCAGTTAAAACAAGATTGCCTAATAAAAGCCAAATGTTAGAAAATTGATAAAATGATTCACTATTTTCTTATTTGATTTCAAAATGTATCAATTCAATTCATGTGAATAAAAAACAAAAGTAGAATCTTGCCCTACCTAACAAGAAATTAATACACTTACCAGGCCGTCGAACAGGTGCAACTGTTGTAGGATCGAACAATATTTTCGGTTTTTCCTGACCTTTCTTTTGAGGTACTTTTCTTATAATATTTACAGTAATCTTTTTCAGATCCTTGACATCAAAGATTTTTTTCGTGCCCTCATCTGGGCCTTTAAAAACCTGATGTTTTTCCTCCAAATCGTCATCTTCTAAAACCCTAAAAAAGTAGTTTAATAATAGAATAATATGTTTTCAAACCTATTAATGATTCATATAATATTTTAATGACCATCAAATTTTTTGGCAAGTTACTAAATTAAACAAAGCGCTCATTAATGACAATGTAAATCCATCAGATTGTCTCCGTCAGTGGTTTAAAGTAGGTAAAATTCAAATAGAAACTATAAAGCATGAGGCTGTCATATCCCAGCCGTTACAGAAAATTGTTTTTGTTTTCACTAAACTGGCGATAAAGCCGTCAGTCATGCAGTCACATAACATTCGAGTTGCTAACTTTAGGCAGTCTTAACTGTAATCAAAAATTATTTTTGTTGTATAATTCTCTTATTGTCAAATATCATGCATGATAAGTAGTTTATAAATATTTATTCATTGAAAATATAATTGGGTTAAATAGAAATAGGGTAATTTAAATATTGCTATGTTTTTAGAGCTGAACTCCGTAATACTTCCTCTGAAAAAGACTTCAGTTATGAAAAATGATCTCAATAAAGCTACATCATTATTATAAATCACAAATGATGACCCATGGGTTCCATAAGCTATTGAGGCACATAGATGGATGTATGTATGTAACCTCTATGTTGATATTTCTGTTTATAAAATAAATAATACAGTATTTCATTTTTTTTTCCTTTTTGAATCCAGTAGGAATCTTTTATATCCGTTAATCCTATACTTAAATTATTTGCAACATAATTTTGTAGGAGAACAATTAAAGTTGGCAGAAAAATATTACTGTAACATTAATATCACTTAGAATTTTCCCTATTCAAACTAGAATTTATTGATCAACTATATTTATAAACAATGTGGGTATGATGGTTGACTGTAGTGAATAATAGACGAGAAGGATGGTTGGGTGATCAGTCAAAATAAATAACCGACGTTTCGACCCAAAATTCAGGATTAGGAAAAGAACCAGATAACAATAGGTATAAAAAACATTGAGAAAAATTTGGCTATGCGGTAAACAATAGCTAATCATACATAAAATGAAGCTTTTAATATCAAGACATCAATTTCAATCATCATAACATGCCATTATAACCGTCACTATTCTAAATTCTCACTGAAGAATTATGTATTTATAAAGGTTACCAGGCAATGGTAAACTGGCAAGAATTAGACCAAATAAACTAATTGTGCTCATAACTAACAATGATAATGTTTATATTAAGGACAGTGTGTTTTATCAATGGTTAAGTATTGACATACTCACAAATATAACTTTCCAACAAATATAATTTATATTTTGATTCATGACTTCCATAAACTCCAAACTGGTCTTTTTCATCAGGGCTTTAATAAATTAGCATTATAGAAATTGCTACTTATGATTTAGGCTATCTCAAGAAAGGGTGAGTAAACCCTTAACCTTACGCGATTCTTTTCAGTTAAAGTCAAGGGTACAGCAGAGGTTTATAGTATTCCATTTACAGAATGATAATGAGATTTTCTGTACAACAATTAAGATGAAACAAATCTTGTGGGATGATACCATATTTTACTCACAGTTCTTTACTACGTAATTCAATATATACAATAATCATTACAACTTTTGGATTACAATCAAAAGATAATTAGATTTAATATAACATATAAACAAATTTAAGAAATTATATAGTTAGTTAATAAAGTCCAAACAGAATGTATCCCTGATACAACTTAATAATGATAAAACAGAGCCAAAATCAGGAATTGTAAAATAAAACATGAAACTGTATATAATAATTATAATCATCCATATTACAATGAAAATATTAAATGAATTAAACAAACTCAGAGAGATGATAATACCTTTCACAAATAACTACACAAATCAATAAGTTGAAAATAGACATTAAATTCGATTGCTTTAATCAATAGGTAACTGAATACAATATTTTTCCATTGGAATACAAATTTAACTGTGTTGTTACAAAACAACAAATGAAATATACAAAACATTACATAGATAACAAAATAAACAAACTTATCAAAACACTAGAATAAGGCTATAAACAAGAAATCAGTACAATTTAATGTAAAACAGAACATGTTATAATTTAAGAAAATAATATGTCCAATTGACAAGGGCACAAACCTGGAACTCAAAGGCCTGGGTGTATTGCTCCTGGATTTACTTCTGGATCTGTCTCTTGCATACCGAGACATAGGAGAACTCAAAATTGAATATCTCACCAACACTAAATCAATTGAAAAACAAGCGAAAAAATCGCACAGTTTGAATAAAGGATCCCCAAGTTAACATAAATAACCATTACCAAACAAAAGCAGATACCAAACTTTGAATCACAAGAACAAAGAGGTTAGATGTTCACTGCAAAGGAAACAAACTACTAACTTTGTTGCCAATTTAACTTTCTTCAGTGATGTTATACCTCTGTTACCAAGTTGTAGGTATTTCAAATTGAAAACAATGTTGAAGTTCTTTTTCTTCAAAAACGTGTTAAAAAACAGCATCTGAATTTCATTGTACTCACGAGTCGTTGATTCATTTAATTAGTCTTAAAACCATTCGACTTTAAAATGGAATACAGGTCAATAAGAACGCTATTATTTGAAAATGCCGTAATTGACAAACTTATTCGTTTAAATGTGATATGCAATTGCAGGTGATATTACTGGAACACTGAGATGGATTTGGGGCGAAGTGGTTGAAGAGGGTGCTAGAAACTTGCTTATTAATTAAGGACGATTATTCAGCTAATGAGAGAAATAAAAAAAGAAGCCGGGCTTAGCGTTGTCGCTATTATTTAAGATAGGTAATTGTGTTTCTCATAGTTTGTGAAATGTTTAAACGCACCTCTATAGGGCACATTATTTAATTTTCACAAAATTAAATAATACAAAATCAGTTTCGTGGTAGCGATCAAATTTTATTTATTCATGATTCAGTGCAAGTAAGAGATTCTTATAAAGACAAACTCACAGAGAAGAAGAAAAGGATTAGATATTTTAATGTTCACCCCACATTTTGCACAATGCAATCAGAGTCCAATTATCTTAAATCTTGTTTTTGACTTGATGAAGATATTTGATATGGGACCGAACGTTGGAAAATTAAACATACCAAATTATGTATTTCATCGTGATCCTTATTGAAAGGTTTGTTTCATTGTCGCATTGGTGTTTTCTTTCTAATATATATATATATATATATATATATATATATATATATATATATATATATATATATATATATATATTAATATATATATATCAAATATATATATATATATATATTTATCAAATATATCAAATATATATATATCAAATATATCAAAGCTAAACAATCTTATCGAGCCACAATGTGAAGGCCGAAATTCATTCCGTGAATCCAGCTCGAAATAAATTTACATCCAAATATTCTCAGCCAAATATGATATCACGGCCTCGCTTGTTAATAATCTTTACTTATGATTGTCCTTTTAGAACAAATTAAACAGACAAAAATGATTAAGATATGTCAATATGGCCATACATTAAACATTTACATAATAATAAACATAGAACATTTACATAATAACATAATAATAGACAATTAAAAACTAAAAATACAAGGAGAAAAGAAGTACAAATATATATATAAACTTAGAAAAATAAAATAAGTTAACAAATTAGTTTCTGGAGAGTTTTTAAAGTGTTCTTTTACGTGTACTTCGTGATCGGATTGGGAATGGAATAGATACTTACAAAGAGGACGGATTTGAATGAGGAAACTGATGAGTTAGATGAGTTCTTATTATACTATCTCTTTGGAGACTATGCAATAACCTTACTAAGAAGAATTTTCAAACATGGAATTTTAAATATTCAAGATTTTTTTAAAATTTTGTTTATTTAATTTTGATATCGAAATGATAAGAACAGTACGTTTTTGGAAATTTTAATTAATATGAAAATGTATTTTAGGAATTGGACATACTTGTATCATTCATTTGTGCTAGTTTCTAATCACACTAGAATAAATAAATTGTTACATTTATAAAAAATAATCTATTATTAAACATTAAGGTTTTTAAATCAGTTAATAAAATTTTAAAAAAATTAATAAGAGCCAAATGCCTTTTTTTTAACCGATTATAATTCATAACTTTTTCAACTTTTTAAGTTGATTTGCCTTATTACCTATTCAAAATTTGTTGGAATTAAAAATTGATTTCAATCTGTAGGTATTGCAATTTTAAACATCATTTGCACATTTTTATAGTGATTATAAAATTATATTTAATTGTTTTCATCTTGTTTTTACAACCCATGTATCTTGTTTAGAAAAATATTAATAATGTTTTAGGCCTTTAAACGAACTCAAGATATTATATGTTGTGTGGCCAATGCACAACGAAGGCTAGCGAGTACTTCCATCTATGATCCGCCTTATTTAGATAGTTTGAAACCTAAAATTCCATTGCATGAGCCAATCAACGTTCAAATTAAGGGTTATGATTTTGCAGTTTTAGAGAGCTATCAGAAAGAAATAAACAGAATTGCTAGAATGATGGACATTGATATTAGCGATGGGTAAGTTTTGTGATACATATTTCTTCTATTTTAATTAATTTTACTTAATATAATAATTAAAAATAATAATTACTTTAGTTCCGTATTGATTCCTTTATGCATAATGGTTGGTTCCAAACTATTTGCTTAGTAATTAATTTTGTCTTATTCTTTCAAGACAAAGTTAAACAGATCATGCTTGTTGAGATCAATTGTAGAAAAGGTCTACGAGTACATTACTTTAAAGAATTAATTCATAGATTTTTACCAAGATTATAACATTGTGCAGGAGACAAGGTGGTCAATGTATAGTACTGTTTAACTTAATTCTTGAAACTGCTGCCAGAAAAATAACTAATATTTTGTACAGGTGGATGATGTTCTTTCATCAAGGGTATTATTTGTCCTTGTTGGGTTTCTTGATGACATTACTAAGAAACTAGGTCTCGAAATAAATATTGATAAGATAGGGAAGTCTGACAAGTGTACTGTGCATTTCAGCAAATGCTCCTTTAAGAGCTTTGATAATTTAAAATAATATAGTGGGTATGATCACCTTTAATTATGATACTGCTGATATAAATGATAGGGTGCCTCAAATTATTGAACTTGAGTCGCTTTACCGGAAGACTTACCAGAAAAGAACTAGTTTTTATGTACAAAATGATTGTGAGGCCCTCTATTAGCTATGATGCTGAGGCAGTGGCTGTTTAGAAGAAAGAAAATATTAAAATATAAATTAGCATCAAGAAGTTGTTTTGTTGATTATCTTGGTATGCATTTTGGTCATCCACAGTTGTTAACTTGAGGTTCATACCATTCTCAAGTCCTCAGGCAACTTCTCTTTGTTCTCTCAGAAGGTCAGACTCCATCTTGAATTTTGTACTACAATTCTTATATACCTACTTACATACTTTCCTCATGATTCACTTTAATTCGCTAGCTGAAATTGGATAGATTAGTATGAGTCGTTTGATAATTGTTATGTAAAAACTGATTTTGTTGTTTCATAAAAATATTCTGCTATATTAGTTTTTAGGAAAAATGTACTTTGATGATGGAAGTGTTAAAAGATACTTCCAACGTTCAGAGAAAAAAGTTTAATATTAAAAAAAAAAAATATATATAAAAATTTTCTAGAAAACATGGAGTAACCAACAAACTCTTAATTAACATTAAGATAACTTGAATTTTAACTGAGTAATCTATATCATTAATAAGAACTAGTATATCTCATTGAGAACTCTCATAATAGATGGCTGTCTTTTTCCCCAATGGATTTGAAATATATGCCACTTCAGTGAAACATCACTTACTAAGAGTATCAAAGCTATACCTGGATGTTGTTTCTATTTGTTAGAAATATCAAAAAGTTTCTATATCATCCAAAGTGCTCTAATGATCTTAGAGCTATTTACCTTTTCAATAGATATTTTGTTCATCGAAGACTATCATAAATAGTGTACAATTATCATAAATCCCATGGGACACCCTATGTGGTGATGAAATCCGCAGGAGGATCATACCAAAAAGTATTTTCATTTTTAAACCTAAGTATGTGATAAGTATTCCATGGCATCTAAGAGGTTTTCAGCAAGAATTATGGTTTATCTCGAAAACAGGGCTTTAAAACGCAGGGCTCAGTACAGTTCCACAGGTCTTGCTTGATGTTCACGTCAAAATGTTTAAAAAACAATTTATTCCATCTTGATCCTTTGACTTTTAAAAACTCGTAGTTTTCTCAATGATTTTTAATGTTGTTGGGGTAGAGATTTAATGATCAAAACTTAAATTTGTCACATCTCCATGAAATTCCCTTTCATTGCCAATTATATACAATGTATATATTATTATTAAATAAGTTATTTAGCCAATTAGATAAAATCTAATATTTTCATATGGACTTTTTTCTCCCCCAGTTGGGCGACTCCAGGAGTTAAACATAAAATACAGAAGTTTAAACCTAACAGTTCAGTTGTTCATAAAGAATATGAATTGGTGACTTATGAACGGAATTTGCAGGTATCATTTATTCATGTTTGCTTTTATTTAATTTTATATATACCATTATTGATAATTATCTTATGTATAAATAATGAAAACTAATAGCTGAATCCATCCAGTATCTTCTGAAGCTAATATTTCACGATTAGACAATATGATATTAATTTATTTTCAGATAGTCGAACTTCCATCGACTCTCGCTCCTATTTTCTTTCAATTGATTCAAGCTGCTCAGCCACAGGGAACTAATTTAGAAGTACATGAACATTTAAAAGAACATGAACTAATCAGGTATGTCCCAGACAAGGACTTGATTCAATTGAAGACACAGCTGACCGAGCTTGGAGGACCTGTTCTTAAGAAGAGATAATAACTGTATATTATGTATTATATTATATTTTTTGCTTTAGTCATGTATATTAAATTTAGTTATACATTTAGTTCATCTTTTTTTCTTTATCATTGTCCTGTTATGCTGTTGTTTTTTTTAGGCGAAATATTTGTATATATGTAATGTTTTACCATTTTGTATAATACATATGATTTGAAATACTTTTTCTAATTTTAGTTAAAGTACTAATCAATATTAAATGTTGAATATGAATAATAAATAAATTGATCTTGCAAAATGCCATGAGGGTTAGAAACTGACTAAACGGTCTGTTATTTTACTTTACTATATTCTTGTGTTCAGTAATGTGCTCTAATTGTCTAGTTTATCCCTTGGACTTCTATTCTAGGAGTGCATCTAAGATGAGTTTGCCTGTAGGAAAAGAGAGCTTGCGCAGCCTTCCCCCACTCAAGTTCCTCCTCTCCAACCCTATCATGAATTTACATATGTTCCTAATTATGTTTTTGGTCTGAAAGTGAATAGTTTTTCCTCTACCCAGTTTTCAATAAATAGTAAACAAAATGAAAGAAAAATTTGTAAACTTGTAAAAAAAATTGTAGAAGTACGTATGAATGATAGAAGACAAAAGAGTGGAGGATCGGAGGGTAAATATTTTGCCACTGCGCATCGCCCCCTTTACTCATCAGCAAACTCATCTCAGATGGACTCTACCAACTATTTTTATAGCTGAAGAGGACGGTTGGGGTGATTAGTCAAAATAAATACAATTATTTATTTTGACTGATTACCCCAAACATCCTTCTCTTCAATTATTCAATATAGTCAACCATCAACCCAAAATTATTTTTATTGCTCATTTAACGAGGACGCATGTGTTATAACAGGTTACATCTTAATTTTGTTTCAAGAGAAAATCTAAGCCAAAATTTGAATTGGATTTCTTCTGAATCTGTGACCGCTTTGCTCCCAATAGTCAAAAAATATTTATTAAAAATGAAGTTGATGACGAGGAATCAAGAAACTTTTTTTCTAGAAACTATAATTAATCATTTATTACCGTTCATAACAATCATTGAATCAAAAATATATATATCACTAGTATTTAATAATTTGGCTCACATGCAATATTAAATTTATTCTTTGTAATCAATTTATTCTAACATAGGATTATAAAACGTTAACATTTATGTGAAAAACCAATTGTTTAAAACTCAAACAAAAACACAATAAAATAAACAAATGATTACTAAAAGATTCTTACATTAAGTTTAACAAATCTATTACTATTAAATGAGCTAAAAAAAAAAAAAAAACAACATACAAAAATACAAATGTGTAAAAGGTACAAATTACACTTTGTTAGGTAACATTTGTTCAAATTAAATAATAAATTATAGAGTAAAGTGATAAATGCCTTTTTTAAAATAATAAATGAGTATATTTACAAGTGTAATGAAGATGATGAATTGCAGTTATGCATACACCTTCAACACAATGTAATATTTCCTCTTTAATTTGAATAAAAAATAAAAAAAAGACAAGGCCTTCTAATTAATTATCATCAAAGACCTTAAATGTTAATTAATTATTTTCAAAGGCCTTTGTTATTATTATCAATCTAATGATGCTTAGTCAACAAGAATTCACAATCATTGTATTTAAATTCTAAATTAAACAATTTACTTTAGAACCCTTATGTGCTGAATACATCAAAATCTATTCAATTCTTCTTAGGAACTTTAAGAAGAGAGAATTTTAGTGATGATAACATGCCTATATTATATCTACTTATTAAAAATAAAACGATTAAATAGGCTCCGAAGCAAGCTCTGAGTGGCCTGATAAATTTATGAAGTGACAAGGTATCTGAGAAAAATAAGAACAGTAGAAAGTGAAGTTCAAAACGTTAGAAAAGATATGCAAGGATGTAAATTACATCATTTCTGAGTACAATTTCTAAAGAAATTTTTAAAAATCAATACATAAGGATTCAACTGTCTTACAATGCCAATACCATTTTTTGTTAAAGGGTTCATTAATTAAATATTAAATAGTTTTACTGAACTAATAAAAATGAAACTTATAAATTTTTATTGCTATGAACTAGAATTCCAACATTAAAAAAAGATAAAAAATTAGGTTAATTATATATTTGTTGTTTCACATTAAGGTACCTCTAAGAAATGATAATGTGTAAGTAATATTTTATACACAGTAACTATCATGTAATTTTATATCCATAAGTTGTTTATAATTAGCAAAAACTTAAAAACAAAACAATAACAAGTAAAGAGTCATTTGTAAACAAAGTATCTAAAAACTTTTGACATAACATATTCTCAACAAATAGAGAATTTCAACAGCAATAAGGTAATAAAAATAAACTTCAGAGAGTCTTTTATTTGTCGAAAGCACAGCTTATAAGTCCGTCTAAAAGTATTCAATAACATAATAATTATTTACAAATATATCAAGCACCTAGCAGTGAAAAGCGAAAGAATAGAACTTTAATAGTTCCACTATAATATTAGGCAATAATGATATAAACTAGTTGATAAAGAGAAATAAAATTGAGGAACATATTAGAGGATAATAAAATTATTTTCATTCCATTATGTAACGATAAACTGAATGAAATAAAAATAAAAGTATATGTTTGATAAAATATATCCCGCCCTTTTTGCTGATTTAGAGAATTATTAGAACCTATAAAAAAAACCAACTTGACTAATGTAAACAAAAATATACTACTATTGAATTTTTAGCTAAATATTAACTAGTCAAAAATAACTTTAAAGTGCACTGTGATAAAAACTAATACCTAATGACCTTGTTTCAGAAAGATGATGATCACGATTTTTATAAATTTTATTTTTTATCATGTAAGTTAATTTTCATATGATTATGATAGGTCCATGGACGGGCTTAAGATTAAAAATTTTTTTTAAAAAGTTAATTCTGTACAAAAATACTATTGACAAATAATTTCTATTTATTTGGAAAGATTTGGTAGCCTCTGAGCATTAAACGATTGAAAAACCCTGAGTCTGTTGTATAGCCTGCGTAAGTTTATACCGGAGTCTCTCCTTTGTACAGTAGCGAGGGAGGTCGAGGATATTGAAGCATGTATGAGCAACGGGTAGGTAACGATCGTCCATCGTAGGCTGTATTATAATCTGTAACAAAAGAAATAAGTAAAGTCAGATACATTAATTTTCAAAACAAACTGATTTAGAAAGAATAATTAGCTTTGAAATAAGCTTTCTAGGCAAAATAAAAACTCAATTTTTTAAACAAACGAGATCCAGTCATTATAATCCAAAAATAAGAAAACATAAGGTGACCCTAATTTAGTTTGCTAAACTTTATTTTCTTAAATGAAATATGACAAGAGAAGTTCAAATGTATGAGTGAGAACCAAAAAATGAGTTTGTATGCTTAAAAATCTGGTTTGTCCATCTTACCGATTTTAGGCAAATTCATACAACTTTAAATATGTCCATTGAAAAAAAAAATTGAATTACATTAATTTTCCTGAAAACAGGTCAGAGATATGAAGAGTACGATTTCTTTGATGAACTACAGCAATGTGAACGGGAACATGAACTACTATTTATAAAATTCAATACACTGTAACTTTGCTAAAAGATGTCAGATTTTAACAATTTTTTTGGTTTATTATTTTCAATAATCAACCTTGGTAGTTAACCAAGATACAAAAAGTTAACTCCTCTTGAATTCAAAAAACTTATCTATTTCGAAATTAAATTTGTCTTTTTCACCTAGACAATTGGACCAATTATTTTGAGATTTGGTAACAATTTCAATGGTAGGGCACACGAGGATGATCCTCAGAACTTGGTATTACTTTCTGTCCTTTTCATTAAAGATGGCAGCCGAAAAACCTGTGTCGCTATAAACTGTAGCATCTAAATAAATGTATTGATTTTAATGAAACTTGGCTAAAGTTTTCCCTCGATATCCTTTACATTTCTGTACATGGCATATATTTCACTGAAAAGTACTTTCCTTTAAGGATGGCGGGTGAATGACTAGTATCGTATAGACTATAGCGTCTAAAGCGATGTACTGATTTCAATGAAACTTGGCTAAAGAGCTGAAAAAATGTTACTATGGGATAGTAAAATTAGATTTTCGTATTATTCAGAAAGTATAAACACTTTTTTGTTGATGTTGTAGGGTCATTTAAAAGTTAACAAAATTTCCAAAAATTCGTTCAAAAAAGGAGATGGTTCGGGGTGATGGTAATAAAGAAACTTAAAATAGTTAAAAAATATTTTACTTTAAGCTGACGTTTTGACACAACCATGAAGGTCTATATCGGAGGTATGTTCGGGATGGAGTTTCGAGCAAAACTGCCAAGAGGCAACTTATGTTTTTTTGTTAGATATAAGCTATTAAATTAAAGTACATAAAATATGTTTCATATTTATTTATTTTTTTCTTTTATTGAGTATAACCTGCCTTATATTGAATAGACAAAAAATATAAATATAAATATGTTTGTTTCCTAATCATAAAACAAAGTCAAAAAGAACAAAGAAAATTTACAATAATTTAATATAAATAAATACAATCAGAAAATTTATTAACAAATATTAATTTATACAATATCGGATTAAGAATTTAAAGAACAGAAAAACCCATTGTAATCGCTACCAAAAAGTCATGGCGCAATCAATGCGCCGTGCACCTGCTGACGTTATAAATGAAGACTAATAGTTAAGCGATAAAGCAGGCTTGTTAAGGCGGCAAAAGATCTACATGGTCTGTAATGCCAACAGAAAAAAAAAAAAAAGTTAACCGATAAGACACAGCAATCTCTGATCTTATATTAATCCTTTATTGTCCTCGCTGAAGACCTATTTACTTGGTGCATTAGGAGCCTTGTTTTGTAATTATCTCACTAAGACTACAGAAGTCTATAACTGATAGTAATGAAGAACCTGATTTTTAGAAAAAATTTTTTTTCTATATTATGTGAAATGCCCAAGAGATTATAGAGCTATTCTCCTTCATCTACCTTTTCAATACATTTTTAGTTTGTTGAAGACTAACAAAAAAAGCAATATTTTAATTTGTATTTAAAACAAAAACACGCGAACAGTATCACATGACGTGAGTCACAGCACCTAAAGGTACTATTTCGCTGGCGCTGCCCATGGCAGTGACCGCTTGCGGTTGACCACTGCTTTAGTGAAATAGAAAGAAATCTATTTCGTTGGCACTGCTCGGCAGTCTAGGTATGACGTCATATCTAAGCTGCTCCTATCTGACCACTCCTGAAGCAGTGGAGCAGTTCAGCGGTTCTAGAATATGTTATCATATCAGAGCAATGTTTTGATGATAACTGCGACGTTGGTACATTTTATTTCTAATTTTTCTTTCAAGTCAGGCAAAAGTATAAGAAATATTGTTTTAAACTTAAACAACGCAATAGTAAATTATTTTTTTAAGGTTGAAGTAACAAGATTATTTATTTATTTATTCCATCAACAGTATTTTACAGCAAAATTAAAATATACCCAAATCCAAACGAATTAAATAATAAAATAAAATAAAAAGTAGTATAAGAATATAAGTCATATCTCAAGATAAACGAATTGTGAAGGCAGGTTGACCCTCATGAGTTCAGCGAAATAGCTGTGCAACAGACGGTTGGCAGTGTTAAATAGCGGTTGCTGCCATGAGCAGCACCAGCGAAATAGTACCTTAAGAAGTATTCGGTAAGAATTACGATTTATTAAAAAAATAAAGGAAAAAGTATAGTGTTTGAATAGATACATTGGAACTATAAAGGGTTTTCAATACCACTGCTAAATCATTAAAACACAATTTTTCCTTTTTTGATTTGTTGACTTTGAAACCTCCTAATTTTTTTCAATTTCTATAGAATATATATGTATCTTTTATTAAAGTTGTTGAAGGAATTTTAGGATCAACAATTAGATTAATCACTACTCAATGAAATTTGGTTTTGTTTCATACCCAATTCATTAAAATCTACTGCTTCTGAGAGTCAGAAAAGGAAAATAATATATACAACCATATTATAAACAGTATAAATTAGATTAGTGAAAAATAAAATTACATACCTTGATTGCTTTCATTCCTTGAATTGGAATGCGATCACTGCCAGTCAAAAACAGAAGAAATTTTTTCTTTTCTTGTAAAGGTAACTCATGGAAAACTTCCCAGAATAGTTGGATGGTTCTATCCGAAGTCGAATAACCACCGCGATACTCAGCCCCATTCTCTAATGCCTCCCAGTCATAGTTCTCATTTCCTACAATGCAAAAAATATATATATTACTCATTGTGAAATTCGTAACGAAATTGCATTTAAAGTACAAAAATATTTACTAAATGAAATGAAAAATAATTTTATTTTTATACCTATAGGTAAGGAGTTCCAAAATAAGGTAGCACGAATGATGAAGGATTTGCTGCAGGAAGTGGTTTTATGGGAGGGAATATACAGACCTATAGATTGAGATCTGGTATTAAGAGAGTGGATAGAGGAGCGTAGAGTAAGGAGTTCTAGGATGTAGGGAGAATTTTTGGTTCTGAGGACTTGGAAAAGAAAAATACTAAGAAGGTATTTTAGAATATAAAGTAGGGATATTCATGCATTGTAAATGCTCAATGTACTATCATGCTAAGCAGTCAGCACAAATTTTGAATGAATGGTAAATAACCTGTCTGTGCTAAAGTGTTATTAGTTATAGTAAGGTTATGCCTATACTGTAAACAAAGTTTGTGAGTTCTTAATTGATCTACTAACAGTTTTGATTTATTTTTAAAATGCCAAAGCGAAGTGAAAAGAGCGAGTTACTGGATTATTTAATTAAAAATGATTTATTAGAAAGCATGAATGAAGATTCAGATGGCAAAGAACTTGATGAATACATAGGAGAAATCCTACCTAGCTGTCTTTACATTCCATTTCTGTGGATATTGCACAAAACAAACAACAGAACCAAACACATCAAAACCTTACAATAACCTTCTCCGTGTGTTTACGAAGTTAGCAACACTTTACACTTTACAGGACCCTAGGCTGTGTTAAAATCAAGAGTGCTAGCAGCCATATTTAATGCACATTTCGTAAATAATTTTCTCGACTTTACACATTTAAAAGGTTTACAATATTTAGCAATGGTTTGCAGGAATACCCCAAGTAGATCTTCTCCCACAATATAAAAGAGTCTAATTTTCAATAAATCAGAAATGCGAATTCAGTAATCTCTAAAATCTAGCTGTTGGTTGTTCTGGCTTGATCAAGTAAGCTGGTGCTCCGAGGGAGCTCATGGGTCAGCCGTTTAGTGAGCTATCTGCTGATGGTGACTGCAGAGCGTCATGGTAAGCTTGCTATTCAGACTAGTCAGGTGAATGCTACAGAAGTAGAGTGACTTTATAAAAATGAAATCATCTCACTTAAATGTTGGGTAAAAAGTATGAAATTACAAATAATTTGGAAAAAAGTCAACTCAATCGTCTAAGGATTTTGATATAACTGAGAAGTAGGCGTGTGTGAATTGAATAAAAATTTAGTGACAGAAATAAAGAACATCTCCCACATTCACCTATGCTTTTATTTCTTTTATTGTTGACTATAGATATTTCAACTTATCTATATATAAAAAAGTATTTTTTCTAAAAACATAACCGTCGCAATCTTTGCAATTTCTTTTATGAGCAAGAATCAAAATTAAACTACTACATTTTCTCATATAATGAATAGCTCATCACAACAGTATATTATTAGCAACAATTGTGTTTTTGCTGATAAGATTGCTAAATTCAGATTTCCTTACTGTTACGCTATCACAATTTTTTCCTAATGCTTGGCAAAATACTTTTGCCATCACACAGAAGAAGTTTGCGAGTTAAAACGTCTATTTTAGAGGAAAGAAAAAGCTCGATAGAGAATAACTGGACCAAAAAGGACCATTCAATGATACTGTGTTTATTATACAATATATTACAATAATAATTGGTACTTGTATAATAGTGGGGAGCGTCCATCTGCTATCTGCCAATGTTTATAACCTTAATACTGATAAGCCACTGATAATATCTTCGTATTCGTATTTATTGTATTATATTCATGTTATTATATCTTTGTATTCATATTTATTATATTGTATTGATATTACTGAAATCGTGAACAAAAACAAATGTAATAATAAAGAAATACTTTGATTTTACAAGATATATATATTAAATAGACCAAAACATTATACATATATAATTAAAATTGTAGTTTGGGGGATAGTTTGAGCTGCTCGTTCCCCCACTATATTGTAGTTAAATTATGGGACCACCCATAAATGAATTTTAAATCCGTTTAAAAAAAGAAATCCTCGACCCCTCTAACCACGTTCCTTCAAACATAATTAAATAAGACTAACTCACAGCTTACAAAAGGAACAAAAAATAAACAAGGGAATAACTTATGTTAGAGAGATAAGGAGATTATGTGAAATAAGATTAGATAACAAGGGAGTTTTGACACTATTATACAAGTACCCAATAATTATATTAAACATTATACAAACACTAATTTTTGAGCTCTTATTCAAAAAGCCTAATAGTAGAGAACAATCAAGACTAGAAAATTTATGATCTTTAACATTTACCAATGACAACAGCCATCAATTCCTGTGCATGAAATAACTGCAACACCCTTCCTCCACAAACTTTGTGGAAAGCGTCATGAAATGCCCTATAATGACGTTCAACGCTGTTGTTCAATATGTAGTGTACATATAAATCAACGTACTCCTGCCTGAAAAAATATATTGTTATTTCTCAAATTGAAAACATTCAATAATAATAATTTAGTCGAAAAAATTGTAAATATTATGCTATTTGCTGTTTGCAATATTAGCAGAACATTCCAAGAAATAGTGATGATATTAAAACAAAATATTTGCATTAATTATATATAGAAAGATATGGATGAAATAATACAGCAATTTATGACTCTAAAACTCCGATCCTGCCCTAGAGAGTGATAGTTAATAAAATTAAAACTTTCGATTGAGTTAATATAAGAGACTAGCTTTAATAAATAGATTATTGTTTTGTAATTGTGGGTTGATGGTTGACTGTCATGAATAATGAAAAGAAGGGTGGTTGGGGTGATCAGTCAGAAATAAAATGGCAAAAATAAATAATAATATTTATTTTACCATTTGCCAATGTCGGCAAATGTTAAATTAAATAATATTATTTATTTTTGCCATTTTATTCCTGACCATCCCAATAATCCTTCTCTTGATTATTGTTTTGAATACCTCATATTCAAATATTTTGTATTGATAGCATTCAATACATATGTTAAATCTTAGTATCAACCCTTGATTTTAGATTTTAATTAATTTTATAAATAAGCGATTCAAAGAAGTGTGGACTCAAATATTTTGTATTAACAGTGCTCTTCAAAAAATATTAAATCACAAACAAGAGGATGTCAGACAGCGGGTCACTGTTTTCAGTCAAAATAGTTTTTGATGATTTTTAGATAAAAAAATATTAGACAAATGTCCCAGCATTCGTTCTAATGGGCTTTAGGAGCAGATAAAAAAAAGTTATAATTTCAAAAACATTTATGTATTTTTTTCGCTTCCCTTGACTGGATTTTTTGATTATTATGTACAAAATGATTTCTTTTTTTTGTGAAGAATAAGATAAAAGCATTGCCTTTAATAGTCCATGGTACAGACCCCTTTTTATCAAATTATTAACATCTGCCTGAAACTTAGTAAATAGTTTCATCTCATTGTAACCTACAACAACCGGAGGGGGGCAAACTTTGTCTATTTAATTAGATACTAAAAACTCGTAAACACTTTCTACTTCATAAATACTACCATTTGTTTTCTACTTGGATGGTAAGATAAATTGATCACAAAATCAATAAAAAAGGTGGCCTACGAAAATATTGGGCTGTTTGTTCTATATAACCTCATTATTTTGAAAATTTGGGGGTGTAGGTCACGCCAAATGGCTCAATATTTTTGAAGAGCACCTTTTTTCTCGACTTTGTGATCAAATTATCTTACGATCTAATTAGAAAGCAAATGTGTATTTACCAGTTTTAATACCTAATTAAATAGACAAAGTTCGCTTCTGATTGAAAATGCCCCAATTACAAGAGTTTTCGTAAATAAAATAGTTGTAGGTTATGATGAGATAAAACTATTTATGAAGTTTCAGGCGGATGTTAATAATTCGATAAAAAGGGGTCTGTACAACAGACTATAATGTTTAATGAGTTATAATGTATCATAAATGAAAAAAAAAACTTAGATTCATTTATAGTTTCCTTTAAAACTCTTAAATACTAATTATTATAGAAATAAAAAATTACATATTTTAATACTTGATTTTTTGGTATTTTTTTTATTGCTGTTAACTCAAGCATTCATAACTCCTCAGGATGTTCTTAAAATTTAATGCTGACACATCAGTTGAAAAGCTGAATTGCTGTTCTTCCAACCCACATCGATAATGCTTAAATTTTAATCCTTTATAATATAGAAACAGATATAAATATGTTTTTTTTATTCATTATATTTTCTTTAGTTTATAGTTTAATTTAGTGGTTATGAATGCAGCAAGAAGAATGGTATTTTAATGTGCAATTTTATTATTTTTTGGAGATAAAATGTTCCAGAATAAATATAAACTTTTCTGTATTTATTAATAATGATCAGCCAAAATAAAGTTTTTATCATGAAAGATGGTGTTAATTGGAAAGTATTAGATATGTCATAATAATAACTTGAATGTAAAAAACTTCTTTCAAAACTTAATGAAATCAACAATCTCTTACTATATCGAATTATAAATATAACATACCTATTCTCTTTGCTGATAGGTATTTCGCTTCCATTGGGCTTAAGGGGTTCAGTCCTTAATTCGCCGAACACATCGCGAGTAATTTCAAATCTAAATGGAAATAAACTTTCGAAGTCATCTTCATCATATTCTAGAAGGGACTGCAGACTACTAAAATAAAAGAAAACAAAAAACAAATTTTCAGTCTACTTTCTTTATATCAAACAGATCTTTAAGAACTAGGATTTAACTAACTAAAGAACTAAAAATTAAATATTACATAGATGTAAAATCAAGCAGGGGCTCTAAGTCACTATAAAGGAAATGAGATGTAAAGAATAAGTTGACACCATACTGGGCATTGGCATTAATAGGTAAACATCCAACATCGCTCAGACCAAAAAGTCAAGTTATCACTTGCTAATAATATATTACTGCCACTGTAATTTTCAAGATTATGGTCCAAAAAGCCAATTTAATTTAATTACATTTTGTAGTTAAATATTCTAATTTTAATACATATAAATCATAAAAAAATCACTAAGAATTTCATTGTAGTTGGCAGTCAACGTGTGTTAAGGATGTCTAGTGCTTGTATTTTTATAAAACCAATTTACATAAACTTCATCTGTCTGATTTCTATTGACAAGAACCTCCACTGGAATTTCATCATTTAAAAACAAGAGTCCTAAAAATTTTGTCAAAGCTGATTGAGCATATCATATTGCATGTACCTAGGTGCAAAAAGAATGCATATACCATTTATTTATTAATCAAATTAATAAGGATTTTAAAACTAGTTAAAACTAATATGTAATACTTGATTTTGAATCAATAATGAAGGAATTTAACAAATCAAAGGTAAAACAATATGAACATTAATTTAGAAAAAAAATAAAATTTTTGCATCATTCAACTTTGAAAATTCAAATTTTTTGAAAAGTTTTAATCACCAAAAAGTATTTTTAACAATATCTTATGAGGGTTATGTTATAACCATACATAAACCAAACATTTCAAGAGGCGGATGATGCAAAAATCCGATATTATCAGACTGTTAGTTGATCGATTAATATTGTTAATTACAGATGTTAGATATAAAAAAACATCCTCAGTTCAACTTATTTATTTCATCTAACAGAACATTGTTCAAATAATAAAAGTTTCAAAAAAGTAGTAAATGTCTTAGAGATGAATATGACAATGGACATAGAAAGCTTCTCATATATCAAATACATGAGAAATAATCTCAAGTTGGCCCGTGCGAATAATTCGCAGACAATTTTGTATAGTGAAGAAATAGCAAAATAATATGGAAATAAGTAGTTCCTATGTATTATATAAGGAAGGAATTAATATTTTTTCCTTGATCGATTACAATATTCCATTTAACATAATAACCAAAATATTAGTACAAATTGCTTTACTAGGACTTATTTTTAAACGCTGACTGGAAAGATAATAAAAGTAATAAAGACAAAATAATGCCCCAATCATAGGATTTTCTAAATTATTAAAAAAAATAAAATGTAAGAACAAACAAATACCTTTAAGAAATAATAAAGTTAATATATCAGCCAGGAAAAAAGGATAGTAGACTGTTCTACTCCTAAATGCAATATCTTTAAAGAGGAAGACAATATTAAGTATAGCAAAATTAATGGACTGTATCTTTGTTAATAATTGTCCGATTTTTTTTTTCTTTTGTAGATAATTTAGTAATCCTTCTAATTATCCTGGGTACAATCAAGAAAAAAATGTATACTTTTTAAGTTATTCGCAAATAAAGTTTCTTTTCCTTCATAACTTTTTTTCCCAGAAATTTCGGTGGGATAGGACTATTTTTGGCATGTGAAGAAGAAGAATATCTTCAAAATGAGTGGTCAATCATTGGATTTGATGAAGAATTGACGAAGTTATGGCGTACCGACAAAAAAAAAACACCTTTTAGAAATAATATATAGGATATAAAATAAATAATATTAACTGATATTGTTTGGTATTATAAAACCTGAATAAATACATTTTAGAAAGGGAAAAGAGCGAGTGAGAGGGTATCTTTCACAGACAGAGGCAGGTATGGCTTGGCAATGAAATTTTCTCCATGCCTTATTGAGACCAACAACATCAACAGAATCTGTAGGCAATATTACAGGATCAATTGTAAATATTTTGTTAACATAGCTGAATACTGCAGAAAAATTAATGACAACACTATTTCAGCTATTCATTGTAGTAAAATATGGCCCTTGAAATGATACTTCAAACATAGCAATGTAATTGATCAACAAAGTAATGAATGATATTAAAAACAAAAACAATGGCTTCAGGAAACATTACTTATTCTTGTTCATGTAGATCTTAATTTTTTGGAGTTATTCCTAGGTTTATCATGCTAAACAATAAATTGACCATATAAAAAAATAAATAAGAATTCATAATTTGTCTATATTCACCTGAGAAGTAACAATACCTGTTTTGGTTTGATGAGTATAATATAAAAAATCGAGTACCTTGCTAGAACCATATTAAATTTTAGTACCATTATGCTTTGCTAACAAGTTGTAATTTTACTATAACAATATTTAATAGCCACTAATTAAAACAATTAAATAAAATGACTTCATGATCACTGTTAAATTGCAAGATTCGAACACTGATATTACGTACTTGGCAAGAGTTGGAGAAAATTCCTTTAAGTCTTGAAGGTTGACAGGCTCTCCGAGCAGTTTTTTGTACAGAACTAACGGAAATGGCAGATTGATAATAGTAAAGTTGTAAATCGCCAGTCCACATAACAAACCTAAAATTTGAATTACTGAGGTGTAATTGTCAGATAAAATAATTTGAAATATTATATTTATAAAATTATTTTAACAAGAAAGTGATAATTGAGGATTTTATTTATTGGAAGTAAATCTTCAGCCAATAAGAGATATGAAAGTAAACTTAAGTTTCAACAAAATAAGATAATTCAATCTAAAGCTATGTCAAAAGAATTTTTGTGATTAAATTTCATGTTTTTTTTAATTTCCTTATTATATCTTACTTATAAGTAATTATAATAAAATTTTGATGTGCAAAATAAAATTGTATGTTTTAACAAAAATTTTGAAATTCAATTATTTCAATAACATATAATTCTTACTTCCATAATGAGATGAAATTACAAGCATAATATTCAGGATTTTTTACTTTCACATACATATATATAAACTATATAGTAAGGGGAAGCATTGTGATTAAGAAAACTTTCAAATCCGAGTTTTTCAACAGAAATGAGGTCTCCTGAGTCTCACTAAATGGTTTCAGTGCAGCGCAGCTCAAAAACAAAAAGTTGTATACAACTGGAAGTGACACTTTATTATATCTTCATTTTACACATTTTTATGATTTTCCAAAAAAGGCACAAAATGATTTAGATTAAACTTATGCCAATGTACAATTGGTTTTTAATATGGGGTTGGTCTTATCCTCCTTAATACAGTCTGGCCGGGCTAAATGCCAAATTTTCAAAATGGCTTTCTCTATGGTTTATTTGAACTAATTAATAGTTACTCTTGATAAGTAATAATAAGAAATTGATAACTAGAAACTAAGAAAAAAATTAATGAAAAACAATAGGAGAAAAAAAAGGGACAAACATCTCAGGTATAAAAGGTGTTTACAGGTTTATAAAGCATAAAGTAATAATCTTTAGTAAATTTAGTTCAATAACTTTAGTCCCGATAATCAATTTAAATAATTAAATATTAATTAGTATTATTTGAACAGAAAGTTATTTCCGTAAGTAGCCTGGTAAGAGAAAGTTTTGTGAGATATGAAGCACCAGATTTTAAAAATTTAAAATGAACAATTTTGCTTAACAATAAAATATAACCAGTCATTTACAGTTATTTAGATATATTTCAAAGGATATTAAATTTGGTGAGAGTTGTTTGGTCTGAAATAAAACAAAATGTTTATTAAACAAACAAAATATTTGGTATTAAAAGCCCATACCCTTCAAAATATTATAAGATTAAATAAGAAGATTCAAAAATAATGATTTAAAAAAAAAAAAAAATCACAGGTAAGAATTGACAATATAGCTATTGAAGATTGAAAGTAAAGGACTAATGAAATCTAGAAATTGTCAACGTTATGTATTTTATAGATACTACATACAAATATTGTCAACTTAAGTCAAGATTCAAGTGAATTTTGAATTCTCACCACAAAACCTAAGTTCAAGCAATGGAGATACAGTACTTAAGAAAAATAGAGGGAAAAAACAAGGAGAGACAGAGTTCGAAATAAGACAATGAGGTCAAACTTGAAACTTAGGCCAGCTGAGGATATCATCAAGGAACACCAGCTGAGATGATTTGGCCATGCTATTGGAATGGAAGATGACAGGTTAATGAAAGTTGTGTATAAAACAAAAGCGAAAGGCCCGAGGTCAAGAGAAAGACATGGGAAGGAGAAGACGGATGGTCGAAGACAGAGATTCTTGGACGAAGCTCTACCGAAGGAATCCTCACACTGCTGTGTGTTAGAAGAGAAGATTAAATAAATAATAAATATATATTGTCAACAAAAGCGATAAAATAGTAATGCAAATAAACTTACCAACCAAATAGTACATTATTTCATCCTCAAAGGAATCTTCCGAGAACCAGATAGCTCTTGTTTCTGGATCAGATTTGAACATACCGTACTTAGGGTCAAGAACTTCCCTCAATAGTAACAAGAAAAACTCTTTCTTTACACCACCAGCATCCTCAGCTTCTTCGCCAATAAAATGAATCTAAATTATTACAGAACATGAAGCTTTAAAGAAGACATTTTAACAAAATAAATATACATATGAGGTTAACATAAAGAAAGAGCAACTATTAAGTCAGTAATTTTTTTTTTCTTTTTTATACTCCGATGTAAAGAAGTCCTAAGGTGGTTTGAATAAATTTGACAGAAACAAAAATAGTTAAATGAATTTCAAAATAATATAATAATGATTAGATATTTGTACCTTAAGTGGCTTTTTGTAATCCTTTTCCGAATAATTAGCAAGCTCTCTGATAGTATCCTGAACAATATTTTCTCTGCTCACTTGCAATTCAAGAAGAGCTTGAACAGGAAATACAAAAGGAGAGAACAGCATTTGTGTTATAGCCTGCTGTGCTGCTTGTGAGACCGCAGTGTGCATCTAAAAATATTATTATAATAATACTATATATAGAAAAAAAAGGTATTTATTAAATAGCCGGTTGGGTAAAAACCTCCCTTGTTATCTAATCTTATACCACATAACCACTCTTCTTATTTAATCTAACCTAAGTTATTCCATTGTTTATTTTTTGTTCCTCGTGTAAGCTATGAGTTAGTGTTATTTTCATAAAATTACGGATGCTGTTACATAGTTCAAATTGCCGTCTTCAGAAGAAGAGGCTATCAAATATTTTCAAGACGCAGAGATAATTGCAAAGGTGAAATATTGTGATGAAGGTCATGAAATGAAGTTGGGCGGGATGGAGATGTTTTAGTACTTGTAACAAAAATGTTTCTATAAGAAAAGGAACATGGTTAGAGGGGTCAAGGATTTCTTTTTTAATTTTTTAACGGCTTTAAAATTCATTTATGGTTGGTCCCATAATTTAACTATTTCCTATAATTTACTATTTTCCATAATTAACTATTTCCTCGCTATTTTAAATAGCATAAAACTATTTTTGCTACCAAAATAAATTAAGTTAAAATAAAATTGTTTTTTTTTGTACATATTTTGTTTATAGTGTTAATATTGTTTCTTTTCTATGTACATCAAGTGGTTTTTTATTATTTCATTTATTTTTATATAAATTTTGTAATGTTTTAGTCTATTTAATATATATCTTGTAAAATAAAAGTATTTTTTTATTATTACATTTGTTTTTGTTTAAAATTTAAATAATATGAATATAATACAATAAATATGAATATGAAGATATAATAATATGAATAAAAAGATATTATCAGTGCCTCATCAGAATTATAAGTGTTAAGGTTAAAAACATTGGCAGTTAGCAGCCGGACCCAACCGGCTATTTAACAAGTACAAAAAAAAATTACTTGAAAGTGGTACACAGTTCAATGCAATACATATAATTAAAATGAATAGAGACATAAACTATGATTGCTATCTCTAAGGCCTCTTTACTCCTCTTCTTCCACATATATTCAGACTGATAGTGACAGTATAAACTGGGTAATCCAAAATTAATGCACACTTTTAGCAATTTCTTTCGATGTACCCAAAAGTATTATTATACTGTATTACTATTCCTGATATCTGTGATATATCGAGAATACCAATTAAGTGATTTAGTAGTATTAACCTGTAAAACAGTATTATCTTTTATGATGAATAAAAGAGTTGTGATTACTAATATTGTAGTTTAATATTCAAATACCTAACATTTGGCGACAAGGATAAAAGTAATGAAGAAAGGTACTTCGTGGGTGTATGAATTAAAGAAACAAGACTTGATTTTAAAACTAAAAGAATTACATGATAAATATTCAGGACACAGTCTTTTTTTTATAATTTTTTTTTATTTATGCCAACGTTTCAGCTCTGAAGATGACCCATATGTTTGGGTTGAAATGTTGGCATAAATAAAAAATTAAAAATTTTTATAAAAAAAGATCCTGAATATTTATCCCCCATGATATGTAGAACAGTTGACTAACTTCCTTCAATAATTCATTAAAAGAATTAGGTGTGGTTTTTGATGAGGCTGATTCTGTAGATAGGTTAAGGCAAATTTTAGTTCAGGAATTACGAAGTGAAAATAAAGAAGAAAGCAAGGAAATTAGTGAAAAAGTAACCCAAATTAAAACAAAGAATAAAGGAGCAAGCTGTAGGATGGATACCTGTAAAATTGAATTTCGTTTATATGAGGATGTCTGGGACACTTTTATTGAAATGTTAGAACTTTATTTCATTGAACATGGTATTGAAGAAATTAAGTATGTAACAGAACTGCTTATAAAGGTGAGTGTAGAAACCTACATTCTTATTAGAAATTTTGCAATACCGAAAAAACCCAAAGGACCTATCATTTAAAGAAATTGTTTTTTTAATATCTAAGCACTTAAATCCCATCCTTGTCGCCAAATATTAGGTATCAGAATATTAAAACACAAAACTACAATATTAGTAATCACAACTCGTTTATTTATCATAAAAGATAACACTGTTAGGTTAATACCGCTAAATCACTTATTGGTATTATCGATATATCACAATATCAGTGCATCATCCTCCCTCTGCACATTCAATTTTTAGAGAGCGACCATTTTTATCAAGATCAGGATTTAGAAAATCTTAAATTTTAATTGGATATTGTTAGTTACTTATAAATAAAACATTCTAAATCTACTTACTTGCATTGATTGATCAGTTTGAAGCAACAGGGTTTTAGCTTGAGCATCAAACAGAAATGGGTAGTTACAGAAAAATTTTCTTACATTCTAAAAAGGAGTAAATTTGATTTAAAAACATTAATAACCTATTTACAAAAAAAAAAAAAAAATTAACATTAAAAAAATAATAATCAAGTAATCTTTACAAATAAAGTATACATAGAAATTAATAAATATAAATGTGAAAATAATGAGCATGAAAAAGCGAAAAAAAATAAAAATAATAATAACAAATCTTCACAACTCTTTTTTACTCAATTGGTTATATTTTGCCAGATACTTGTAATCTTTGTCTACTTCAGTTCTTGTTATGAGAGTTTCCAATACTTATATTTATCTCTACTTGCATTTTATATATTATTTGTACGTTTTTCTTATTATATTAATTGATGTAGAGATGGTTGACTGGTTGACCGTTGATATAACATGAGAAGGAGTTAATCGGGGAGGGAGGGGGGAGAGTGCGGTCAAATAAATACTAAATTAAAATATAGTAATTATTTAATTTTCGCCGACGTTTCGATCCACTTTGCAGGTCATCTTCAGAGCTACAAAAGATACAAAACATGTTGAAAATAAAAAATAAATATAAATAGATATGAAATAAGAAGAAGTTGTCAGATACAGAAATAAAAAGATATCAGAGATATAGTTTGTGACAATGTAGTTAAAATATTAAGTATTATATATGTAGAGGTATCCTATACAAATACTTAATATTTTAACTACATTGTCACTCACTATATCTCTGATATCATCTTTTTATTTCTGTATCTGACAACTTCTTCTTATTTCATATCTATTTATATTTATTTTTTATTTTCAACATGTTTTGTATCTTTTGTAACCCTGAAGACGACCTGCAAAGTGGGTCGAAACGTCGGCGAAAATTAAATAATTACTATATTTTAATTTAGTATTTATTTGACCGCACCCCCCGATTAACTCCTTCTCATATTATATTAATTATTTATGTTTATTAGGTTATAAGATAGCTCAGAGAATAGAGTATCAAACTCCAAGTTTCCATACCTAGATTCGAGATTGGCTATAGCAGAAAATTTATTTTGTGAATTGAATCAAGAAAAGATGTTATCCTTGGTAACTTCTGAGTTAGCTAAGTGCCTTAAGTGGGTTACAGTGGTAGTGGTACAATTTATCCCATCAAACAACAATTTATTTACTGATTTAACAGTTGTTTAATGGGGGTACCTAAGAATACAATGGTTTGAAGCTTATCTACCAAGAACTTTAAAGTTTATATTTATATTTGAAAAATTAATAAAAAGTTAATTCTTAAAAAAAAAATGTTGAAATAATCCCTCTTCACAGTTGGGTCCTGTGTAATAAATACAATGAAACAATTGAAAAGGAACTATGATAAAATACCTAATTAGTGAAAACAATTTAAAAAAAAAAAAAATCATAAGCTCGAATGGTTCCATATTTCTTATCAATATAAGTTTTTTTCAGACTATGTTGACTTTTTTTTTAGAGATTTGAGATGTAAGCATAGGGAAAAATTATATATAAAAAACTGAAGATAAAAAATTACAATTTTTTAAAAATATCCCTACAAGGAATCAACTAATTATTATCGAGTTAATCTTTTATATGTTATCGAGTTAATCTTTTAGGTTGGCAAATAAACATTTTGGTTGTGCTGTTTATTATTATCTCACTACCATACATTTTTTATCTAAAGAATTAAACCCTAAGATGGATTGTTTATCCCATAAATGGGAGACCTGCGGCCTCCAAACGTTTTTGAGCAGTATTTATTAATCTAGTAAAAGAAATAATTAATATTTACGTATATTTTTTGTTTCAGGTGAAATTATGATTAATAATATAAAATTAAGACAGTATTTATTTCACCATGTTTATTTTCCCTTTTCTACATTTATTTTTCCTGTTTCTACATCTACGTTTTGACTATGATGCCATTTTCTAGCCATATCACTCTGAAATTCTTAAAAGTGCTTAAGTCTTCTTTGAACTACTTCCAAATCTCCTGAATCCTTGATCTATTTAGCCTCTGATTGGTCATGTTTAAGTTCATGTTTTTTAGAGGATTAAGCACTTTTAGTGGATTACAGAGTGATATGGCTTGAAAATGGCGTCATAGCCAATGTAGAAAAAGGAAAATAAACATGGTGAAACGAATACAGCATTTACTTTATATAATTAATATTTAATTATTTATGGCAGGGGTCTCGAAACTTTTGGTCCGTGATCAACATTGAGACCTTCACTAAGTCCCACAGGCCGTTTTGAGATCTTCGTGTAAGTCCCACAGGCCAGAGTTTTCAATGAAAAAAAAATATCTTATTCTAAAAATGACACTTCTTCTGTGAAATGAGCATTCTAAGAGAAACGATTATAACCGGATCCAAAATAATTTTACAAAAATTAATAAAATTAAGTTGAATATATATACAGGGTTGTTTGTATTTAGTGATAAATACAAATATCAATAGTAAAATAAATGAATTTTTGCAGCCTCCATTAACACTGCCAAAACTTACCGCGGTCTCTAATGATAAAAAGTTCACCAGCTATGGTTTATCCTGTTTGTAAATTGTAACAACCATTAGAATTGTGTTAACAATTACACTATGGATATGTAAGAAAATATCATTCATTATTAGCATATATTGCTGTATTATTTCAAACTAGATAGGTGTGCTAAAAAAAAAATAAAATAAAAATAAAAACAAGATTGCAGTCTTTTTGGGGATGATAAATTAACCAAATGCATAGGACAAAGTTGGTTTGCCAAATTTTGTTTAGTAATTTTTGACATTAATGATGGTCTGGTCGATGACAAGAAATTGAAACGAACTATGGTAAAGGTTGATCAAAATCCTTTTAAATCAGTGCAAGAGATTACTATGTACTTCGATGTGTCACACATAAGCGTAGAAAACCATTTGTACAATCTTGGTTACATTTTTAGATTTGACGTTTGGATCCCCCACCCTCTAACCAAAATCGACTTGTGAACACGCATTTCTATTTGTCCAATCTTGCTTATCCACCAGATCTAGTTCCAAGAGCCTAACACTTATTCTGGTCTCTGCACAAATCTATGAATCGAAAGCAATTCCGAAATAACCACCATAAAAGACCACTTTGATCAGTTTTTTGACAAAAGGACCCGGCTTTCTATGAATGATATTAGATGGGATTAGTGGAAAGATGGAAACAGGTAATACTAAATAATGGCCAATACAATAGATTAATATAAATTGTATGCCTCTAATAAACTGATTATGTTCCACCATGAAAAACTGAAAGGACTTCTTCGCCAACCCAATATATACCAAAAAATAAAAATAAATCAGCGAGGCTAATTAAAAGTAATTTACATTTACTAATATTATAAAAAAAAGCAATATTCATAAATCGGCATCTCCTAAATATAATTAAACAATAAATAAAAATTAAAAGAGTAATGGCATGATTACTCACTCTTGAACCTGGATCTTCTGTTGCCCATCTCACATAATCGACTCTTATATCAACTACGTCGGGAAGTTCTGGTAAATAAAATATTTCATAATTTAGCCTGCTTTGGCTTGGCTTGGTATTATTTATTTTATTTAATCGGGCAAGTAGATCTAATGAATTAACTACAACCCTTTCACAACGATTGAGGTCCCATTGCTGTAAAGACAAATAAAAAAAATTAATACAAAATGAGAAAATATATTTAACAAAAAGAAACATGTAACACTATGGTATATAAATGAATAGATATAAGCATATATACATAAATATGTAATTAAGCTATTATTTTTTTTTTTTAATTTTCTTTTAATCATGAGCCCATGTTGAAAAAGAGAAGATGAAAATATGATCAATTGTGGAGCTAACTTTCTTCGGTCGATGAACAAAGATAACGAACTCCGTGACTTGATAAAGTTCATGAATGACATAAAGGCAGTCATATAATAAAAGTCGCCGCTTATTCTCAGTTAATTGAAATTCCAATTCATCTCAGTTTTTAACCATTAGTCTTTCTAGTTTCCATAATATCTAATATCCAAGTCCCATATAAGTTACTTTCAATGATCATCTAACTATAAATGATTAGTATAAATCCAGTTTAATTTCCATGTAAAAACTGTAATTTCATCTCACTATGACAATTGAAATATTTTACTGACAAAATAGGACTTGCTTTTACAAGTCTTAAAGCCAAAAAACAAAAAAAAAATTTATCTATACAGTAGGACCCCCATTATCCAGGACTCCATTATCAGGGGTACCAATAAGCGGGATTCCAAAGGGCTGTTTTTTCTTTTTAATAAGGTTTTTTAAATTTTTACACCATTTACTTTATGTGTACAATATTTATTTAAAAAAAAAATGAACATGTAAGATTATTTTTACCGATTACATAATTATTAATTATATATTGTTCTTAAAAATAAAGAATGAGTAATATGAAATATGAATGATATGTTTACAGTAACTACAATTCATATTCTAGGAACGGTAATGTTTTCAAGTCATTCCATGAAAGGAGAAATGGAAACAGAATCATTTCTCAAAATCGTCAAAGCTCTCCTGGAGGATTTCATTCATGTCGATAGGGATGACATGAATAAATGGCTGGAAAGTGACCTGGACGAAGAGGGATTCAAACAACTGATTGACAACGAAGTTGCAGATCTCCACAGAAATGGTGGATCATCGACTCCATCGCAGTTTGATTAACTCGAGCAATGAGAATGACGATTCGCTTATTGTTTCGGAAACAAAGAAAAATAAACATAACCAAGAATTGGAGGTAACGGAACTTCTACTAAACTATTTCAAACACAGAATAACACCGATTATAGCAGAATTATCTTGCTATAGACAATGAGAACTGGTATTAGAAAAGAAATGTTTAGTAAAGAATAGACTAAAATTATTGATTTTTTCTCTAAATGAAAATTCAGTACATATGTAAAAACATGCATACATTTATTCCTATATATTTTTGTATATTATAATTTAATGTATATAAAACGGTTTTTTGTTAATAAAAGTGATTTTCTGCATATTTTTGTTTTTTTAATTAACCTTCTTATTCACCACATTAAGTTAATGAAATGTAATATTCGAATTACATTATCCATAAACCCCCCATACCTATCATTACCCCGAATAACAGGGGTTCTACGGTACAGTAAAGCTGAAGAGTTTGTTTGAATCTATCAACTTAAGGAATTTCTAATCTGATTGGAAAAAATAGTTTCTAATAAAAAAAAAATTAGCAATAAAAATAAATAAATGTCATCTAATAATTGGCGTGTAAACATAAAATGCTGATTATATTTAGAAAAACTGGATACAGTATATTACACTGTAGTATAAACAAATCGGAGAAAGTAGCATTAATGAATGTACTACAAATTTTGCTTAATGGAACAAGTCAAAACTAGTAGTTATGTGAACACCTTAATTGCAATGATAGCAGGTAAATTTGAATTGATAGTATTCCTTCTTTTACTTATTGTGTTCTGGACAGTAAATAAACTCTGAAAACATGTTAATCAGAGCTAAAATAAAGCGATTAAAATTTGCAACCATTTCAATTGAGGTTTTCACAAGACTAACAGTTTTAAGTTGCCCTGCTATTAGTGCTGAAAGACAATGTATATAGTAAAATTTAAAATAAACCAAAAAAAATAAAGATAAATAAAAATATACAGATAAAGTGTAAAATATATATTTTCTCAACAAGATCAATAAAAAATCTGGTGTGGGTAACACACAAAGTTCACTTACCGCTCTACTTTGAATAGAAATTATTTTCTGGCAATGTTGGAGTATTATACAATTTTTGAAGTGTATTTTAAACGGAGCTAAAACTTAAAGCTTACAGATAACAATTCATTAAGACCATTAAAGTTACAAAAAGTCTATTTACTATATCGACAGTAGGGAATAAAATCTAGTTTTATAAACCACATAACTTCATTCTCTGAGCCTTTCAGTTGAAAGAATGACTAACTTCAATTTCAATATTTTCGAGTAATGTCATTTTAGTGATATTTCTAGTTGGAAAAGTTATATATATCTATTCAGAGAGTGAGAAAGTTGATTCCAAAGTAGATGATTGCAATGTTGAAATATAGAACTGTGAATAAAGATATAAATTTTGCCACTGGAAACATCACTTAAATTAACAATAAAGAATGTTGAAATTGGAGTTAAGTCATTCTGAAAACCGAAAGGTTCATATATGGCTGGAGAGATTTGAAAGTATATCTGAATATTTAATCTGTAAATGATTATGGATCGTAGGACTATTAGTTATTAAATTATTATTTTCTATTGTAAAGTTTACTAAAATGAAATTACCTTTGAGATTTTCATTGCCTGCCATGGATAGGTCAAAAGTTAACACACTAATTATATAATTGTAAGTGGATATAGTTGTGATTTCACAAAAGGAAAATTCATCAAATTATTCACTAATTTAATTTCCTAAAAACTTACTTGATAATTTTTTGAAATAAACGGCCAATAGATACCTAATTATTTAAATATATCATATCTAGAGTTACTGTAGCAAAAGTATTTTAAGTTATAAACATAAATATAACTATTAGAAATATTTTAATGTTTCACTTCTTCTTTCACACAAGTACAATTAAATAGTATTTTAAATGATGGCATTGGCATGATTCAGTGGATTTTAAATACTTTTTTTTCAAACTTCGAAAAAACTTAAAAGTTTACATTAAGTAAGAAAATTTAATTTAATTTTATTGGAAACATGTGATTTACGTTAAATAATGTTAGTTTTTTGAAATTATTTATATTTTTTTGGTCACTCTGCGTTACCTTCTACAACTTTATTTATTTAATATTATTTTTTTCTAACATTCTCCGATTTCCAACGATATATTATACGTATACCTTCTGACTGTTATTTCCCGAGATTCATTTTCAACCTTCATATTTACCCATTTTTTATAGTTACTGTCAATAAAAGAGCGTTAATTTTTTTAAATAATTTTAAATTTTAATTTTTTAAAAATAAACCATATCAAAGGTACTTTAGAGGAAGACATATACGAACATTAGGAATTTAAACTCTGTAAAGTAATATCAATGGGGATAAGACCTAAATGATATTATTATTAAAATTATTATTATTAAAGTAGCATGCAAGAACATTTCGGTGAACAGTCATTATAATTTAGTGATATACTTTAACACATGAACATATATACTTTACCCCTTAGAATAGATCAAAATAGTAAATATTATTTACGTAGTCTATGTTCATGTATGGGGACGACTTCAGGAGATAAATGACAACACTTTTATAAATCCTTATTAATCTTTCAAAATATTCATCAGGTGCAAAATGATACCAGTTACCTAGAAAAAAAAAAAAGGAAGAAATAAAACATGATGATTAACAATGCCTTTTTTAATGTTCATGTTTATATATATAGATTTCAAATTATATTTTAAGGTTTTGCGATACCAAGAAACATCAAATGAAAGTATTAAATAAAACTGAAAAAGACAAGTAAAATAAACTGTAGATTAAAAAAAAAAATAAAAAAAAAAGACAAATAAAATAAATAGAAGTAAAGGATATTGATAGAAATAAATTAACGTTCCTAATTTCATTCCAGTTTTGTCTATTTATATGGTGAATATTTTTCTAGGTAGTTGAACGAAGAAAATGAGATAAGTTTTCACATTCTTTTATCAAATAATCAACAACCAACCATAGCCCTTCCTATGCCTCCACTCCCTTACATGATCTTGACCTTCTGATCTTTATATCTCTTTTCACAGATCTGTCTCATTTTAACACTTCTTTATCACGTTTTAGAATGAGATGGAAAAGAAAAAATTGAGATACAATAGAATTCAAGTGATAAAGAATGTTTATGAAATTGTATAATTACATAATAAAAAATTTCATATTTAATTAAATACTAATGTATCTGGCAGGTATGGTGGGGCGTGGAAATATAGGAGTAGGGAGAGCCATAGTGTAGCATCTAGGTCAACTATACATGATATCTTCTCACTGTTATCAGATCTAAATTCTAAACATTTTGGGCTGCATGTTCTTGTTTTGTTTTTTTCAAGAACTAGGCTCATTTTCATTTTTAAACCTTACTTAAAAAAATAAGGAAATAAACTATTTCTTACATAAAATGTAATTTAAAAAAGGAATCCACTTTTTTCTGTTTACAAGCTCTTTTTCAAAAGAGAAAAAAAAACCTTATATGAAAGATTTAAACTTGTACATTACACAGTTTAACCAGTGTATATCGATAACCTATACAGTGTGTTTCAGGTTTAAGAGGCCACATTGCAAAAATGAACTAAGAACCTCAAAACAAGAAAAAAAATTCCTCTGAAGGTATGCCTGCAAACGCTTTGTTTAAGAGATATTCGCACCTAAACATTTTCGTTGTTATGAATTATTTACGTGATATGAAATAAATAACATCTATTTATTTGTTCTAACTACTTTATTAATTAAACGTAAACATTAACATTCATATTAAATATTGTTCAAAGTGATTCCCTTGAGCATTAAGACAGGCTCGGCATCTTTCTTCAACAGCAGCAGTGGTGGCAGAACGGCACTGGACATGTATTCAATTATCCTTCTTCGTAAGGAATTAAGGCCATTGACCAGACTTGCATAAACTTTTTATTTAATGTCACCCCAAACAAAAAAATCCAGTGGTGTCAGGTCTGGAGAGAGTGCAAGGCCAAGCCAGTGGTCCTGCATGGCTAATCCACTGATTGGGATATGGGATATGATTGAGCAAAGTTCAGTCGGTGACCTTAATTCATTACGAAGAAGGATAATTGAATCTTGTGAAACAATAACGCATCATTAAATCATGGATTGTTCACAAATTATTTTTAATCACCCTCCAATTGGACTACAGAATCCTCCTTGTTTTAGAAAAAGTTGAAGTTTTTTTTTTTTACAAATTTCCAAGATAAGAATCTCAGCTTAAACTAGTTATAGGCAGAAATATAAATGTATGTGTACTTATTATTTTTTTCTTTTCTTTTCAAATATAAACATACCAACTATTTTAGCAGCTTCAGTTTTAAGATTGAGAAAAGCAGCAGCAAACGGCCCTTGTATTTTCGCTGAGTGTCTTGCATTGTCAAACTCATGATAAAATGGAAGACTAAGGTAAATTCTAAGTGTTTCGACATCTGGAGGAGATTCAGCGAATTGCGAAATCAAATTTGAGATAGCTTCAAGGCACTGAAATGTAATAATTTATATAGTTTAATAACAAACATATTTATCTAATAAAATCAGTGAGCAACAGCATTTTAAAAGTTTTTACAAGAATCAATAAGGATCTATTAGAATTACTAAGATTGAAATTATTTATCTTAAATGATATTTTAGGATATGATACAATATCAATTGAATATTTAGTAAGATATTAAAATTATGTTTATATCTATTTTTTTTATTTATTTATTGATGATATTTACAACTGTATTACAAATAAAAATACATTCAGTAAATTTGAACAAAAGAATATAATAACATGAATTCACTTGATGAGAAACTACCCACTGGTAGCACTCTAAAAATGTATTTACAAAAGGAGATCTCGAGGCCATCTTCTTTTCAGACGCCTCGGAGGGTTGTCAGGGATCGAAGAGGAAGCAAGGTTAAAAACGAGAGGGTTAGGATGGTTCTGAAGTTTCTTATGGAAGGATAGGTATCTGGATTAGGCCAGGTCAGAAACATAAGGAACATTAAGGTCGTTATGGATGATTTTGTTTGTGATAAAGTAAGGAGCAGTGGGGATTTTACGAAGGATTTTGGATTGTAAGGATTGGAAACGGGAGGAATTTGATGGCTTAGTGAAGCCCCAGAGCTCAACTCTGTAAGTCCAAATAGGTCTTATTGTAGTCATGTATATGAGTCTTTTGTAATTGACTGGGAGCTTAGACCGTTTGTCTGGTAAGTGCTGGAGTAGTCGGAAACGTCGAGCTGTTTCTTGTTGTTTCAGTCTGGTATGAGGATTCCAAGTTAGACGTTTGTCTAAGTGAAGTATTATTAAAGGATACTGTAGGACAAGAGGACATAGGTTTACGACGAAGGGTAAAGGTGATTTGATGGGATTTATTGGAATTTATTTTTATCCTCCAGTTTTGACACCATTCTTCAAGGTTTGTGATGTGTTATTGAAGAGTTTGGGATGCAATTGTTGGGTCGTTATTAACTGATAGGACACATGTTTCATAGGCATACGTGGTAATGACAGTGTTAGGATGGGTTGGGATATCAGCTGTATAAACTGTGTAAAGGATAGGACATAGGATACTATCTTGAGGAACACCAGCGGACTGGGAAAAGGGATGAATAGGCATTATTATGATTTACTTTGAAGGATCTATCAGTTAGATAGGAACGGATAATGAGGAAGTATGTAGGGTGTAGGAACTTACGGAGTTTTATATACCTATTTAACATACTTCTATATACAACATACATAATTAATATAATTACTATTTATTGGAATATGAAAGAAAACTGTCCAAGTCATTAAGCCGGGCACACACTTTACGATAGACCTGTTAGGCAAACCGGAAAGGTATACCTGTTCAGGCTAGAGTAAACACACACTACGGTAAACTGGAACTCAGTTAAGAGATGGCAAGTAAACAAGAAGATGACGTAGTCGCTTTAGTCGGCTAAGAACTGTACTAATTGACCTAAAAACTGTACAAGTGTGCTGGATTGACTCACACACATGTTCAGGTCAACACGCTAGCATCAGTAGAAAATATTGAATTTTGATCCTTCTCCGGTCGCTTGGACAGGGCTGGCACACATGCTCCAGTTTACCAAATAAATAAAAACAAGATTTACCGTTTTATTCAATTAATTATATTACAAATACATAGTCAACTCCTTCATAAGAATTTTCTCTGCTTAGACTGAAACTTTAAAAGTAAACAAATTTACAAAAGAGATCTCATTTAATTTGTCCATGTTTTTAACATATTTTATTCTCTAGTACCTAGTAATCAAGATTGGAAATTTTCTATTTAAAAAATGCAATTTCTTTTTTTAAAGTAATATATCACAATAAAGAAATAATTATTGCCACATTAATAAAAAATAATTCTTTAAATGAGATATGACCGGAAGAAATTGTCTTAGTTGTAGTTTGGTTTAATGACAGGTATTTTGCTCTATTTCACGTTTTACAAATAATGCTCATTGAATTTTTCGGTACTTATTTAATAGCAGGAAGCGTCAAACCTCCCTTGTTATCTAATCTCATTTCACATAACCTCCCTTATCTCATCTAACCTAAGTTATTCCCTTGTTTACTTTTTGTTTCTTGTGTTAGCTGTGAGTTAGTGTTATTTAATTATGGATGTTGTCACATTGTGGGAATTCCCGTCATCAGAAGAAGAGGCTATAAAATATTTTCAAGACGGCGGGATATTCGCAAAGGTCAAATATTGTGATGAAGGTCATCAAATGAAGTTCGACGGGAAGGAGTTAAATTCGAGATGCTTTTGTAGTAGTAACAAAACCGTTTCTATAAGGAAAGGAACGGGGTTGGAGGGGTCGAGGATTTCTTTTTTAACAGCTTTAAAATTCATTTATGGGTAGTCCCGTAATTTAACAACAATACAGTGGAGGAAAGAGCAGCTCAAACTATCCAACGTAACTATCGGAACATGGAACAAATTTTTAAGAGAAGTTTGTGCCCATGACGGATCCCTTCCTTGCTATTTTAAATACCATAAAACTATTTTCCCTACCAAAATAAATCAAGTTAAAATAAAATTTTTCATATTTTGTTTATATCGTTTCTTCATTGTGTTTCTTTTATATGTAGATATGCTGTTTAAGTGGTTTTTTTATTATTTCATCTATTTTTTGTCTATTTTTATTATTACATTTGTTTTTGTTTACAATTTCAATAATATTAATACAATACAATAAATAGGAATACGAAGATATAATAATATGAATATAATACAATAAATATGAATACGAAGAGCTTATCAGTGTTAAGGTTATAAACATTGGCAGATAGCAGTCGGACGCTACCCGCTATTAAATAAGTACCAATTTTTCACTAAAGGCTCATGCACAAAGAGCCAGATATGGCTTGGTGTTCAGAGATCAATTTGTCTGAATTGCAGTATATTCTCATCTGTCATAGTGGGATAGAATGGAACACAACTATATCACCAAATTGCCACAGACAGCAATATCGCATCCCCGAGGCAAATCGTGTTCTGTGTGCATGAGCCTTAATTTAATTTGTTTTTTTTCTAATAATAAAATTATTCTTTGTAAAATATACTCACGACTTCTCTCACTGATGTATTGTTAGCCCTACTAATAGCGGTAAAACAAGACTGAGCTAACCCTAAATCCAATCCATGATGCCTTGATGTACAACAAAAATGTTGATCTCTTGCCAATAAAAATGAAGCATTTATACAAGCCTGGGAGCCGAAAACTGTTTCTAGATATCTGAAATTCACGGAATAAATCTTAGATACATCAGTAAATAAAGATTACAAACTTTAATGACAAGAATACTTTAATAAAAAAATAAATATATTTGATAAAAATAAAAAACTCACATTAGGTTATAATTGGATAATTCCAAAACAAAGCCTTGAGCATCTCAAACAGCAGCAAATAACTAACCAACCAATATTTATAAAATGATGTATAAATTTACTTGTTCCGGGACTAATCTCTCCTTAGAATAAATAGTCTTTTTTATAATAATAACATATAAATATAATAAAATAATGAATAAATAATAACAATAATTCTTTGAGAGTTAAGTAAAGGACAAAGAGATTAGAATGTATAAATAAATGGAAAAATTATAAAGGGGTATATTTAACCTGTACCACTACAACCCATGAAGGGTCTGGGGTTCAGTACTATTAAGGGAAAGCACTGTTTCTAGGTTAACGGTTGTACAAAGAGGTGATTTGACCGAGATCACGCTCAACCACCAGGTTTTCCCCCTTAATCAATTATTTAATTAAGGGTACCCACTTTATAGAGGCTGGGTGTGCCCCAGGAGGGTCTTCTGACCCAGGGTCGCCCCACGGAAAATGAAACAGATCAATAAATTTTCTGCCATGAGCCGGGATTCAAACCTGGGACTTTTAGCATTGGAAGCTCAGTGCCCTACCACTGAGCTAACCCACTCCCGTAAAGGGGTATATTTATAAATGGAAAAATTGTATATGCAATAGTCTCATAGAGATATAGAGATCAAAATGATAGAGTCTATTACAAAATTAGAAGAGCTCACTGTAAGCTCACTGAGGTAGTAACAATATACTAGCTGTGGTCATCAAGGAAAAGCCATTTTAAATTGATTAAGTATTATTAAATGTATCTCTGAAGAAAAACAAAGGTTTTATTCCTTTTATAACAATCATTATTTATTCCATATGAATCAATTAGCATTGAAAATAAAATAATTAATAAAACAGTCAGGGAGTTATATACTATCCTTGTTATGCAATAATGTAATTTTGTTGTTTTTAGTACTGATAATTCTTCAATTAGTAAAGTATCAATATTGGAAAGATCATTTATTTCATATATCCCCCTGGGAAATGGATCGTGACATTTCCACTCAGATAAGTACGCGGCTAGCAACCTCGAGGTAGCCGTCAGGAATTGGCAAAAAGGACCAGTATAGGCCCATTTGCCAGACTAATGGTGAAGCTAATAATTTGTCTTTAATGAATTACACATGAATCTAATGTATCATTCGTTTGAGTAGCTATGAATAGAAGTTATTTTTTTGATAGACTTTTAAGTGAAATCAATAGAAATTTTAAATAAAAGTATTTTAAAACATGAAAAGTTGCAAGGGAAAAGTTCTAGTTTCAAAAGGACTGCAAAATTATCGATAATAAATATTCAGATGATACCGAAACTTTTTAAAAATAAAGTTTTTTTTTCCCTTTCAAGCTAAGCTTGGAGGAAAATGAATCTTGACACTTTTACTCTAGTGAGTATGTGGTGGTAACCTCAAGGTAGCCATCAGGGGTTGGCAAAAAGGAGCACAAGGCACATTTGCGATGTCCTGATGGTCGAGTATGTTGGAGTGATGACCGTTTTAGCATTACCTGGTCTAGCAACAACGGCTTCAATCCGGCTCCACAGAATGAACCTTTCTACTATGTTTAGAATAGATTTGGTAGTCTTTGAAAGGCGTACTTGCTGGACTAATTCTCCAGACTTGTAGCAGTACCAGTATATTATAAATAATACTTCAATCAATTTTAAAAGAATTAAATTTATACCTTAAGCTCAAAGCTTCTTCATAGACCCATGTAGTAGGGCTCTGTTATTATAATTTATTGAACATTTATGATTTTAAGATGTTTTAAGTTATTACTGGTTTATTTTTGGATCTTATTCTAGTAATTAAATGTTAATTTTGTTCACAATATCAACATAAAGAAGAGCTGAAGATAATTCTACAACTCCCATCACTCACCTCCTTCCTAAAGGCACTCAACAATACCTTAACATCATCCATGAGATAAGATCATAAGTCTGGATTGATTTGATTATCCAGTTTACAGCTTTAATAATGCCTCAATGGGCAAAGTGTGGATCAGCTGGTTATTTAGACATATTTGAGAGACTCAAGACCTTGTTTGGTATATTTCAATAATAACGATAATCTTTTTTTTTTTTAAACTTTTTTCCTCATAATTTAACTCACGAAAACTCACGTCATCACTTCCTGATCGACAGCTGTTTCTTCGGGGATGTTTTGACATTCTAACATTTTTTCGAGGGTAACTGTCCAAATATTGGCTTCTTGGCGCAGTAGTCTGTAGTCTGCTGATCTTCGCTGTTAATGATTTGTTTAAATGAATATTAGACAAAGGATTTTAAATTTAAATCAATATTAAAAAACAAATATATATATATAGACATAGAAATAAAAAATAAACTTTATTCTGAGATGATGTCCCCTTAGATTAACAATAATGTACAGTTACAAAATAAAAAAAAACTAACTGGAAAAAAAACATCTGGCCAAAAACTAACTGAAAAAAGATTCAAACAATACATACAACAACTTAAATAATAGTATGTAAATTGCTAAAAAATAAAATAAAATCTTCTCAACTATATTTATAATTTTACTGGAAAAGAAAAGGAAAAAAAAAAAGAATTACCTGTATAGAAAAAAAAAAAAGCAATAGGAAGATATATATGTATACAAATTGAGGAATGTAAGAAATGAAATACATATAGATATAGATAGAAAAAAGAAAAATGGATAAAAACAACAAACAATCTCTTATTCTTTATACATCACCTCACAGTAATATGCCAAATGTGATACTGAATCTTTCCAGTTCACAAATAATAAACAAAAAATAAAATAGTGGTGTATGAAAAACAAAAAAAACAAAATATATATATATTTCTAGACTTCTTAGAATATAAATGAAGTAAATAAAAAAGGGAGAATACTCTTATTATACAGCCAAATTATTAAAATTTGTCTTTAGACAATATGTTAATAAATAAATTAATATTTAAAAAATTAACATCTAATTAATTAATAAATATATCTGGTTAACCTTTAATGTGACAGTCGCAAAGCAATGATCACCACCGGAGTACAGAGCTTCGACGTGAAGCCTACCTTCGAGCCATGGTCCTTGAACAACCAGAGGACCAGTCGCATTCATCAGCTGTTTAGTTCCTAGCTGACCAGTACTACCGAGACCAAAGGCATACACTCTTTCTCGAGAAGGCATGAATACTAGCGTATGTCTCCTATAAGTACAAAAATCTTTTTACAGAGGCTATAACTGTTCAAGATAACTCTGAATGTGTAAATGGCAAACTATTTTTTTTTGTAATTACTTTTAAAATATCTATTTAGGAACATTAAAAAAATTAAGCATTATTCTATTGAGCTAATTGTAAACGTGATGGATTAACTGAACCATAAATAAAATATTGTTTAATATCAATCATTTATTTGTTTTTATGTGTAAAAATAATATCTAAATCCTTACTAAACCATTCAACTAATGTTGCATTTTAACAAATATCAAAATCATTAAATTACAAAGTAAAAAACTAAAATGGGGTTAATGCTACCTTTAGTAGTCAACAGGTGAAGAACCTGAAGAGTGACAAAGAGTACAATTTAACTTTACATTAAATAACTTATATTAACTGATTTTAGATAACTAGGCAACATTAAGCCATTTAATACCCATTAATTTTTCCAACAGTGCAGGGTGTTACTGATGTACAGGTTAACTGGATATTTATATAATACCCCTGGATATTTATAATAATACCCCTGGATATTTATATAATAAGGGTATTATATATTATTTATATAATACCCTTCCCACTTTTAAATTCTGCCTGTTCAATCACTTCCTAACTATTCAGTCCTGATAAAATTGTAAATAGATGTTGCTATAAATATGTATATAGCATTTCCAAGTCAATTTCAACCTTTTCCAAATCAAATTCAACCTTTTCCAAGTCAAATTAAACCTTTTCCATTTCAAATTCAACCTTTTCCAAGTCAAATTCAACCTTTTCCATTTCAAATTCAACTTTAGAATTTTTGTCAATTTTCGATTTTTTTCGAAATGAAGGCCACTTACTATATTATCGACGGCATAGCTTTTAAAAAATACAAAAAAAAATTTGATTACGCAGTTGCATATCCATTTATTTTAACATTTTAGATTTTTTCAGTGTGATATTTCTATGTGATATTCAATTATTTCCAAGTCAAATTCAACCTTTTCCAAGTCAAATTCAACCTTTTCCAAATCAAATTAAACTTTTTCCAAGTCAATTCAACCATTTCCATTTCAAATTAAACCTTTTCCAATTCAAATTCAACCGTTTTCATTTCAAATTAATGTTTTAAGTTTTTGTAAATTTTATATATTTTTTTTTAAATAATGGCCATCCCCTCCCTCCCTCCAATATGAAAGTCTATTATTATGCTCTCCTAAGTAGAATTTTCACTTACGGATATCGATTTATTGTACCTATTCGGATTTCTTAGGGACTAGTATTATGCTGTCCTGTACCTAGTTTTGAAAATAACCTCCATTTTAAGATTACGTGACTGCGTTTCGAATCATTTAAGTTTTTTTGACAAATTCGATATGTGGGTGTATTTTTATGTTTCCCGATCAGTAAATTTTGAAAATGACATCCATTTTATGTTTACGCCACTGTGTTTTGACTTATTTAAGTTTTTAGAATTTATCCAATATAAAGGTCTACTTTTATGTTTCCGGAGCCGTAGATTTTGAAAACGACCTTCATTTTAAGATTAGGCCACCGCGTTTCGACTTATTTGAGTTTTTCGGATATTTTTCATATGAGGGTGTATTTTTATGTTTCCGGAGCTGTAGATTTTGAAAATGACCTCCATTTTAAGATTAGGCCACCGCGTTTCGACTTATTTGAGTTTTTCGGATTTTTTTCATATGAGGATGTATTCTTATGTTTCCGGAGCCGTAGATTTTGAAAACGACCTCCATTTTAAGATTAGGCCACCGCATTTCGATTTCTTTAAGTGTTTCGAATTTTTATCATAAAAGAGTGTATTCTTATGTTTCCGGAGTCGTAGATTTTGAAAATGACCTCCATTTTAAGATTACGCCACTGCGTTTCGGCTTATTCAAGTTTTTCGAATTTATCCAATTTAAAGGTCTACTTTTATGATGCCGGAGCCTTAGTTTTTAAAACGACTTACATTTTAAGATTAGGCCACTGTGTTTCGGTTTTGTTAAGTGTTTTTGCTTTTTCCTTCGAATAAAAAACATAATACGAAGGATTAATTTATTTTTCAATAAATAAATAAAAATATCTAATCAAAATAAATAAAATATGTATTGTCTCATTTTTAATTTAATTTTAGTTATCTTTTTTAATTTTGTGGTCTCCTATCACAAAATTATAAGATTTCGAACAATTAGCTGAAAAATCTGAATACGGAAGGTTAAATTTATTACCAGTTGCTTTTCGGCTTTTTAGTTTGTATTCTGTGGTTAATTTTACTTTAGCTTCATAATATTTATTTATTTATTCATACTCGAAAACATATTGATGAAACTTTGTATTGAAAAAATCCAAAATGAAGCCTAATTAATCAAGATGCAGCGGCTTAATCATAAAATGGAGCTTAAATATTAGATAAATTTAAATATTAAAGATTAGAAAAATTTCAATACGTCTCGGATAACATATAAGTAGATCCTTATACCGAAAAAGTAAAAAAAAAAACTTTTATAATCCAAAACAGTGGCATAAACTTTAAATTGGGTCATTTACAAAATGGGGGAAATCTACTGCTCCAGAAACATAAAATTAGACCTTTATACTTGTTAAATTCTAAAAATTTAAATAAGTTGAAACGCAGTTGCGTAATCATAAAATAGAGGTCATTTTCAGAATCTACGGTTCCGAAAACATAAAAGTAGACCTTTAAATTGGATAAATTCGAAAAACTTAAATAAGTCAAAATGCAATGGCGTCATCATTAAATGGATGTCATTTTCAAAATCTACGGCTCAAGAAACATAAAAGTAGACCTTAATATTGGATAAATTCGAAAAACTTAAATAAGTCAAAACGCAGTGGCGTAATCATAAAATGGAGGTCATTTTCAAAATCTACAGCTCCGGAAACATAAAAATACACCCTCATATGAAAAATATCCGAAAAACTCAAATAAGTCGAAACGCGGTGGCCTAATCTTAAAATGGAGGTCATTTTCAAAATCTACAGCTCCGGATACATAAAAATACACCCTCATATGAAAAATATCCGAAAAACTCAAATAAGTCGAAACGCGGTGGCCTAATCTTAAAATGGAGGTCATTTTCAAAATCTACAGCTCCGGATACATAAAAATACACCCTCATATGAAAAATATCCGAAAAACTCAAATAAGTCGAAACGCGGTGGCCTAATCTTAAAATGGAGGTCATTTTCAAAATCTACAGCTCCGGATACATAAAAATACACCCTCATATGAAAAATATCCGAAAAACTCAAATAAGTCGAAACGCGGTGGCCTAATCTTAAAATGGAGGTCGTTTTCAAAATCTACGGCTCCGGAAACAAAAAAGTAGACCTTTATATTGGATAAATTCTAAAAACTTAAATAAATCAAAACACAGTGGCGTAAACATAAAATAGATGTCATTTTAAAAATTTACTGATCGGGAAACATAAAAATACACCCTTATATCGAATAAGTCAAAAAAACTTAAATAATTCGAAACGCAGTCACGTAATCTTAAAAAGGAGGTTATTTTAAAAAACTACTCATACGATAACAGACCCACGCATCGAAAAATTAAAGATAATTAAATAAATAAAAAAAGGTTGAATTTGAAATGGAAAAGGTTTAATTTGAAATGGAAAAGGTTGAATTTGACTTGGAAAAAGCTTAATTTGATTTGGAAAAGGTTGAATTTGACTTGGAAAAGGTTGAAATTGACTTGGAAATGCTATATAAATTATTAGTTTGTTTTAACTAATTTTATTTCACTTATCTTTCATTTTGTTTTCTTAATTAATTAAAGTTAAAAGGCAACTTATACTATATTATTTATTTCGTCTATTTTTGTTAATTATTCTCTGAGGCCCCAAAGCTCAAATTTCTACTATTATATATTATTTTAAAGGGACTTGTCCCAGAATAAATAAAATATTACTATTATATAACTCTAAATATAGTCAAAATGATTTTTTACCTGCCACAAGACACCTGAGTCACAGTACTACCCATTAACTCTATCACTTTCCTTGGAAGAACTTCATTTGATGTACTGCCATGACCTAACTGGCCGTACATCCCCGCGCCACATGTCAACACCCCTCCATCCTTAATACATTTCATATGATAAATATATTTATTTACAAAACATAATAATATTGATAATAAATCGAATTACCTGAGTAAGGAAGACACTAAAATCTTCACCACAATCAATGAATTTGACCTTGATTGAACGCAGAGTTTTCAACTGACAAGGGTAAATATGATCTACTTCAGAATTCAACCCTAGCTGTCCGAACCTATTCTTCCCCCATCCATATACAGCACCTGAAATAATAATAAAAAAATAAAAACAGTTGTAAGACTTAATTCAAAAGCAGTATGAACAATAGCAATAGTTAAGAGAACAAGACCAAATGAAACAGAAAGCATCATTGTAAAATAATAAATAATCATAAACATCATTAAAAAAAAAAAAAAAAACTCAACATGTTTTTCTAAATATGGCATTAAATAAAGAATCTATGAAGCATGTAAGAATGGAGGTGGACAGAAATTTGATTCCATGAAGATAGTTTATATTTTTCTTGATCCTACTGAGAATGTGTTCCAACACTGGTGTTCCCTTGAAATAGAATTTTTTTATGGTTAATCAAAGCTGAGCAACATGATAATTTTGCATGCATCTTATCTAACTATTGAAGAACAGTAAAGTTCTTAGATCATAATCCTCTGATGAGTCCTGAGCTCTTTTTATATTATAAGGGATGTATCTCCTTCGCTGAACTTTTCAAATCAACAATGTACCATAGTGATCAAGAAAACAGATTGCATAATTTCATATGTAACTTCATTGGCTATAATTTGATTTTTCCACGAGTTTCTTGATATTACAATTATTTCTTATAAATCTTTTTTTTTTTTTTTTGTCCTCCCCTACTTCACCTTTTAGGCTATATGGTGGTTTTCAAGGGCCAGGGGGTGAGGGCGGGGGATTAATGCCAAGTTAAAAGACCCCCTTGGCACCGGTACGCCATCAGGTTGCTGGACAACGCGCAGACAACGTACATGTACATTGGCTTACATAATATACATACTGTCTTATATACAGATTAAGAGCTGTTTAATAACGAAACTTGCGAAAAGTAAGTTTTTCTGTAAGTTTTATAATTGCTCCTTTGAATGGTTGACTATAGGATAGCAAAGTAATATATATTCTTAAAGAAAATTTAATATTAAACAACTTTCTTCCTTATGATTTCTTCATAAAATGAAAAGATAAAGAGTTGGCGAGTAAAATAATGATAAAATGTGATGTAAACTTTTTTTGTTTCGAAATTAGTAGAATTACGAGGAAAGATTTCATGGAAACTATAGAATATAGCGAAAAAACTAATATAACCATTTCTACTGGAAACTTTGTAAGCTTGAATTTCACATATGACATTATTATAGATAAAACACATAGTTTCACTGATATAAGTGAAAAACTGAGAAAAGTAAACTTTTTGAGTCGTAAATTCAATTTTTCGACTTGAAATCCACGGTTATGGAGTAACTAACTGACTACTATTTGATGTCTTAAGACTGTAAATAGCAAAAATTGAAAGGGTTGGTAGCTTTATAGATCTATAAGCTCTCTCTATATATACGCTGACAACCTATGTAGGGTCTCTCCTATCTTCACATAGCCGCCATTTTGTATTCAAGTGGCTATATGCTGGCAGGCGTGCATTTTTCTCATCAGGCCTGTAGCTTAAAGCTTACAGATAACAAATCATTAAGACCATTAAAATTACAAAAAGTCTATTTATTATATCGACGGTAAAGAATAAAAATGTAGTTTTATAAAACACATAACTCCAGTCTCTAAGTAAAGAATAAAAATCTAGTTTTATAAAACACATAACTTCAGTCTCTGAGCCTTTTAGATGACAGAATGACTAACTCCAATTTCAATATTTTTGACTAAAGTCATTTTAGTGATATTTCTGGTTGGAAAATGTATAATTGGTTGATTCCAGAGTAGGTGGTTGCAGTGTTGAAATATATAAATGCGAATAAAGGTTTACATTTTTCCACTAGAAATGTCACTAAAAATAGTAATAAAAAATTTTGAAATATGAGTTAGACATTCTGTCAACTGAAAGGCTAGATTAGTACAGCATACTAATAGGTATGTATTAAAAATTAATATAAGAAAACTCTAGTGGCAACTTACCAGACTTAGACAAAATAAAACTATGTGATCCACCACAAGCAATAAGAGAAATCGGCAGGCCTGTTAAAGAAGCTACAAGCGTCGGAAATGGTATAATTCGCATTTTAAGACCAAGCCCAAGCTGGCCATTATCGTTAGAACCCCAAGAATAGAGTTCACCTTCTGAAAAGGAAAAAGTTAATTTTAATCTACTTAAGTGAACATAGAACAAGAACAAAAAATGAATAAAATAAATTTGAACTCACTATTAGTCAGGGCAAGAGAATGCTTGTAACCGCACGCTATCTGAATTACATTTGAGGTGACCAAAGTCTTAACCACTTTAGGCTTGATTGTGAACTGTTCACCGCTATTTAAACCTGTAAATGTTGACAGTTCAATTTATAAATTAAATGAGTACAGTAATATATTATTTTAAAACAATATTAAGAAAATTGAGTTTAAAAAAAATAAAAATCTATTAGGTTGTTTTAGACTGTTTTATATGTTATTATAACATCAGGATTTTTTTACCATTGACAGTCTCTATTTTATTTTACAACTTTATAAGAAGAATAGCTTTCGGTCGTGCACTATATTCATCGCTATAATTACAACCCATCAAACAGGATACATTAATAAATTAATTAATGACATTAACAATTCATACAAATAAAATAACAGACCTATAAGCAAATTTACAATCTCCTGATAGGCGATTCGTTATCTATAAATTTATCAAGTATAGTCCTGAATCATATTCTCTAAAAAGCATTAAAACAAAAGAATATAAAGCCCTTATTAATCGTAAAATATATTAACGATTTAATTGTCATCCTTTAACATGAAGAGCATTCTATATTGGTCTATAACCTTAATTTAATTCATACAAAAATATAAGTTACTTATGAAAAAGAAAATAACAATAATATAAATTATCTGGATATGACCATAGTTAAAAAGGAACAAAAGTTATATTCTAAATGACATAGAAATATTTTATCCTCGAAGGCTAGAATATTTTATAACTCCAATTCTGAGCCTAGTAGGCTAGAGTCATAGCACAATAAATATACTCTTCTACCAAGGTTTTACCCACACTTAGAATTAATTTCCAAAATTATTTATATCAATAATTTATCAAATTTTTAGCTTCTAATATGAAGCTTTATCTTTCTAAATTTAATATCTGTAAGATTATACAAAGCAGAGTTAATGATAAGTTTTAAATTCCTTCTAACCAAAAATATATATATTTATAACATATAAAGCATATGTATACTTCCTTACCCAATTGGCCGTGTGTGTCAGAACCCCAGGAAAATACTTGACCCCACTGATCCAATGCCAGCGAGTGGTTTTCGCCACAAGCAGCAGCCAGGATTTTGTAGGTAGAGAGTGCGTCAATAAGTTCTAAAGAATTAAAAGAAACAAATAAATAAATAATAAATACTATGTCAGTAATAACAAATTTTAAGTTTTAAAGAAAAAAATGTTTTTTGTGCTGGTATGTTTCATTAGTGGATTCAAGGAGGGAGAGGTTTTGGTCTGAAACCTCCCCACCAAAATAGAAAATTATTATTTTTTTTTCATTTGTTCATATTTGTTTTTATGAGTGACCTGAAACAAATACTTACGTTGTGAGGTGACAAGAAATTTTTATATATATTGCAGAAAATATATAAAAATGTTATCCCTAGAAGCATTATTATTCCTGCAATTACCATTATTAAAAAAAAAAAAATCTGGTGTGTCCACTAATACGACTTCCTACCTATTTTAGAAAAGTTTTTATATCTTTACATATATCCATCAAGAAACAAAAAAAAATAGAATTAGATTCATTTTCCTGAAAATTGATCAAAGAAAAGATTTGAGTATTTATTCGATAAACTAAAGCAATGTAAACCGGCTTAAGGTAGATCAGTGTAAAAATTTCAATACCCTCTAATATTGCTGATCAAAAACTATCCCGAAAAATGGTGTGTGTTTGTTAAGTCTAGCTCAAAAATGAAAAGTCATACGAAATTGAAATTGCACATTTAAGATTTTTATATGCTTGGGATGTTACAGTATCGGCTAACCGGAAGTGGCACTTTATATCATGGACTAAACACATTTTTATGATTTTTTCGAAAACGGCTCTAACGATTTTGATTGAATTCATTATATCAGTGTAAAATTAAGCAGTTTTAAATAAAATATAGTTTTTATTCTGATTGAAGTTCTCTAACAGGGATTAAATAGCTAATTTTCAATATTAGCTTCCTCTAAAGTACCTTCAATTTTTTTTATTTGAAACAATTGACTATTTCACACTAATCTATAATATAAAAGATAATTAAATATAAAATATGAAAGAATTTGATAATTAACTAAAGGAGAAATAAGATATTGTAACACAGAATAGTTGTAAAATTGATCTTAACATATCCCTCAAAACTCCTGATGACTTTGATAGTGCCGTAAATTCCTTTACTACCACAATCCAACAAGCCGCCTGGACTGCTTCCTTCCCAAAAGACTCCTCCAGAATTCCTAAAAAGACCATTCTACCCCAACACCTCCTTGACCTAATCCAAACCAAACGCCGTGCCAGATTATTGTGGCAACGTACCCGACATCCTACCGACCGCTGCTCCTATAATTATTACTGCAAAAAATTAAAACTGAAATTAGCCACCTTCAGATCACATTCCTTCAACTCCTACCTATCCTCCCTTTCTTCTCGCGACAATTCCCTTTGGAAAACCACTACCAAAATCTTAAATCCTCACCGCATTTCCCATCCCCTCCGACGAGATGATGGCTCCTGGGCAGCATCTGACGAAGATAAGGCTGAGGAGTTCGCCATTCACCTATCCAATACATTTATTTCACATCCGGAATCCCATCCTGCCCACACCGTAACAGTAGAAGAACTCCTTACATCACCAATCCCACTTTCCTTGCCCCCAAAAGCTATTCATCCTTCCGAAGTGAAATTTCAATTAAAAAAATTAATCCCCGTAAAGCTCCTGGACATGATCTCCTTACCCCTCAAATCCTTCGACAACTTCCATCCAAAGCAGTCATATTCCTTACATATATCTACAACTGTATCCTATGCACCACCCACTTTCCTCTGCTATGGAAACACTCCACTATTATCCTTTTCCAAAAACCAGGCAAACCTCCCAATATATCAACATCCTATAGACCAATTAGCCTACTCCCAATCCTTTCAAAAATTTTTGAAAAGATCCTTTTGAAATGAATCCTACCCATTATAGAATCCCAAAATATTCCTTCCCATCAGTTTGGTTTTCGCTCCTAACATTCTACTGTTCAACAAGGACTCCGAGTTGTTGATCATATTTCCTCAGCCCTAGAAAACAAGGAATACTGTTCGGGTGCATTTCTGGACATTGCACAGGCATTTGACCGGGTATGGCACTCCGGACTGCTCTTCAAGCTTAAAATCCATTTACCTCAGTCCTTGTACCTAGTCCTCCGATCCTACCTCTCTGACCGCTCCTTCCGAGTTCGCTGTGGAACAGAATTTTCCAATATCTACTCCGTTAAAGCCGGTGTTCCCCAAGGCAGCGTCTTGGGTCCCGTGCTTTACATCCTCTTTACTGCTGACATCCCTGTTCATCCCGATACTTTTCTTGCAACATTCGCTGACGACACCGCAATCTTATCATCCAACTCTGATCCCAACATAGCATCCTTAAATCTCCAAAACCACCTCACCTTGATTGAGCACTGGTGTAATAACTGGCGCATTAAAGTTAATGAATCTAAATGCCAACATATTACCTTTACACTCCGACGCAGTTCCTGTCCACCAGTACACTTTAATTCCATCCAGCTTCCTTACTCAGACACAGTCCGGTATCTTGGCTTTCATTTAGACCGAAGACTAACGTGGAACCCACATACTAGACTCAAAAGACAAGAACTCAACCGACGATACGGCCAGCTATACAGACTACTAAACAGAAAATCCAAACTTTCTATTGAAAACAAATTACTTATCTACAAGACAATACTGAAACCTATATGGACATACGGACTTGAACTGTGGGGGACAGCAAAAGCTTCTAACATCAAACGTATTCAATCCTTTCAATCTAAAGTCCTTCGAACAATAGTTGATGCTCCGTTCTATGTAAATAACAAAATCCTACACCATGATCTTAATATCCCATTTGTCCTAGACCTTATTCCAGAAAAATTCTCCAAATTTCACCAAAACCTTACCTATCATCCAAATCCCCTTGCACAATCTCTATCCAGCACCACCCATCCTTACAATCCTCCTCGAAGGTTGAAGCGGCAGTGGCCCAGAGACCTTTGTAAATAAGCATCTATTGGAGTTTTGGCAATGGCCAGATCCTCCACTCAAGCCCGAGTGTGTATGATTAGGTTAGTTATTTTGTTTATATACATTTATTTTATTTTATTGTATTTATTTTTATTTTATTTTATTGTATTTATTATTATTAAGTTTCTGTATTATTTTTTTTTTTTTTATTGTAAATAGAGTGTGAGTGTGCTTTCTCTGATCACTATTATAAATGTCCTTGATGTGACAGAATGTAATATTTCTAAATAAACAAATATGAGATCTAAAAAAAAAAAAAAAAAAAAAAAGAATAGTTGTAATTAAGGAACCAAAGGAATACGAGCGCACCTGAAAGATTGGAACACGCTTCCATACGTAACATGAGCTTAATATAATATAGATTCTGAAAATATTATATAAATATACATATGCAGTTTTCATAAATGCTATTGTTGGTATTATTTAATATTTAATTGTATAGATTACAGTGTTATAAATATTAAAATTTGTATATATATAAGGGTACTTATACAAATAAAAATAGTCACAATGAAATATAAATAAATACAGCATTTATAATTTTTACTTTCACTTTGCTTTATCTGAAAATACTTATTTCTGCTAAGAAGAGGGTGGTAAGTGAAAGTTGTATGATGCGCACACTACATCAGATCTTTTTTTTTTAAATACTTGATTTGAACAAAATATCTTCCTATCAAAGATATATGTTCAGCAGGCAACCTGTTTCCTGAATAATTCGCTTTATAATGAAATTTTAGAACATTATAGGAGTTCTTCTTGAGGATGAAATAAAAGAGTTTTAATAGTTATAGGGCTCACCAATGTTTTCAGCTTAAACTTAATCGTAACTATTTATACCTGGAGGTATTAATAGCATTTTAGTGTTTATGGCAAAGTGCTTGTAACTTCATAAGAGGGAAGCTGGTGTCAGCGAATAAAATAATGAATTTGCTTGGCATTTTAGCAAGTCCAGGAGGTTTTATAAAGCGCATGTTTTTTTTTTCTTTTTTCATACCATTGTTCCCACAACCTTTCATCCACCACAGTGTCTTGAAGGGTGTCCTAGCAAATTGAATTAGAAATATATAGAATAAACTAAAACACTGTGCTCATCGGGAGCGAACAGTTGTTCATTGAGAAGTTTTCTGTCTGTTTAAGTTTTCTTCGGATCCTGATGAAATTTATATGGAACCTCCCTTAAGATTTATCTTAATGATTAAAAGATAAATTGCAAAAATTAATTTAATTTATTTTTATTTAAATTTAAAATGGCAAAGTTATGAATGTATATCATCACTTTTCATAGTAATATGTGCGACTGAATTTTATACCCAGTGAATATGTAAATAATATTTTTGTTTGATGTCAAACAACATAGGATATAAACATAGTAATACTTTTTTTTTTTAAACAAAATTTTAAAATAAACTTACGAAGCTTTGTTCTTGATTTTTCATGTCCAAGTTGGCCATGGTCGTTATTTCCGCAAGAATATACTTCCCCACTCTGTAAAACGACTAAGGTATGTGAAGAACCACAGGCAACTGAAATGGAAATATAATATTTAAGTGACAATTCAAATACATAACTACAACATAAAATCATAAAGAAATGAAATATACATATAATATTTTCAGAATAAAACTAAATGCGTTGAAAAGGATATTAACTCGAACTAGATATGGTATAATTATGTCAAATTCAAGTATGGAGGTTAAAACATACAAAATGATGATGAACTCAAAAGGAACCCTTTCCCTTTAAAGGTTTATTTATCTCAAGCTAAGAAAAAGTAATAATTTTAATAACCACTATTAGTGGCAATAAATATTGAAAATTATATAAAATTTTATGTAAATAACTTGTTACATAAAACAAGAGTACTACTTTCTAAGAGTTACTCTACTTAGATGGATGGGCACAAGATCTCATGATCACAATATACATAGAATTCTGATAATGGTTCGAGTATTGCGGGTTTCTCTCATTGGGTCCTTTTCAGTTGGAGGTAGTGGCCTTACCAGACAGTTCGGTCACCTCCATCCACTCCTGGATATTTATAGGGTGATCGTAAGAACTTGTGCCATTTATTGAAATAGCACAACGCAAGTTAAATAGTATCACAGGAAGTGAACATGGAAAATTTGAGACCACCTAATATAATGTAAACATTAGCTGAGAACATTTGATGATCGATTATCTACATCTACTTTCAAGATTTTATTATTAATGTGCTGTATGTGACCTTGAACTCGACTAGGAGTAGAGATTCGGTACTAGTACCATAAAATATCTATTTATTAATGATTAGTTATTTAATTACAAATAAATCATGATTGATTCATCTTTAAATTATGATTTTTTTAATTTCCTTGTAAATTAAGTTGATTTGCTAAAGTTTGCTACAGTAACTGCACTATTCAACCCCAATAGAAATAATAAAAAAGATGGAAAATATAAAATAACAGCTCATTATTTTATTGATATTAAGCGAAATTGAATTAGGACAAAATAAAAATGAATACAAACAAATCTTACTGGTTCTGACATTATTAGCATTAACAAATCTGACTTCTCTTGGTGCCAGTATGTACTGCTCTTCAATTCCTCCCAGTCCAAGCTCACCATTTGCAGTATTTCCCCAACTGAACATTGCCTGATGCTCTCCTGAGTGTATTGCTTCGACATTTTCACTATCTTGGCCGACATCCAAACCTGTCATCTAAAGAATTACCATGATATTAAGTTCTGTATATTGACCAAGCCAATGTAAACAAACCAGTAAACATTACATAAATTGCAAAACTGGATGCTATCAGCATCAGTAAACATAGTTCCAAGGAATACAACTGTTACAAGTACATAGAATACAAGGTAACATAACAGTTATGAGAAATCTGCTATGTTATTTGATTTAGTAGGTAAAAGACTTAACCTGAAACATGAAAAGGATAGAAGAACAGAATAAAGAACAGTTTATTAATACCTTAATTATAATTGCTAAGTGTCAAAATTTATGTATTTCAAAAGAAATGACCAGTCATGGTATACAACTGACCCTAGTAAAAATGGAAAAGCACTGGCACTAGACGCCAATAGAGAATAAAAATAATGGGATTGCTCAGAGTAAACTTCTAGAAAGAAATCAATAAAATTTAATCACAAATAATTTTAAAATCAAATAAAGGGGAAATATGTGTTCGAAAGATAAGGAGGAGGTTTCATTGCTGTTTGAAGAATCTGTTTACACAGCCAACAATATCACACATATATAATTTTTTACAATAAAAAATGAAAAAGGATAAAAAATGTGTCCTTTTGAGAAAAAATTGTAAATACAATACTTACACGCCTATGTTTGGCTAGTTTGTACATTTCTGGCCACCAAGGATGGCTTCAATAATCTTCTGTACTTCTAAATTCCTCATCATCACACTATATTTTGTCTTTAATTTGATAATTTACTTAAACCGAAAATCATGATTAGTATTAAACGATAACCATACACAAAATAACTTTAGCCGACAGCTGTTTCTATTGCTGCCATTTCAAAATCTTAACCTTTTCTGATTCAGATCAAATAAGAATTAGATTTAAAAAAATATTCTAATTTCCATAAAGAAAAATAAATTATTTTTAAGAATTCATATTTAAGATTCAGTTGTGTTGATAAATACATGGCAGGACCAGTTCCTTTAAGATTTATTTTAATGGACAATTACTGCATATTATAATATTTATAACTTTTATTAAAGTAAATAAATTGAAGCACGATTTGGTTTTAATAGTGGTCTACAGATAGCAGCACAAATCAAGAAAGCTGAAATATTATTTAAAGTTCTAATGTGTACCACAAGAGACCAGCACTATCCAGATACTGACTTGCTTGGATAGTGCTGACCTCTTGTGACGAAAACTAGGACTAATGCTTTCCACTTCCTTGATTTGTGCTGCTATCTTTTGGCAATTACATGAACTGTTATTATGTCTTTTTGCTCTCTTTCTTATTTAATTCAAAACTCTCATTATTCACTGACAACATGATGCGAATGCGATTACAATATATACATAAATAAAACTAAAGATGGGGTATGATAGCCAGGAGGAAGATAATTACCCAATAATTAATCTTTGATCACGCTTCTTGTTAATCAACTCCTCAGCCTTCACCAGATGTGTTAGGGCATGTTTTTCTTGGCCATGTTATAAATAAATATTTATTTAAATTAATCATTTTAAACAATTTTCTAGCACTATGTTATGAATAACTTTTATTATGAAAAAATAAAGGACATTTCAAGATGTTTTCTAAATATGCTTGCACCAGCAGTATTATTTACATATAGTTTAAGATTTATAATATATACATTAATTTAAGGTTTAAGATACAATGTATGAAACAATGTATGAAAGACAGTAACATTACTCTTCTCATAAGAATAAAAGTAATAAATAGAAGGCTAGTGAGGTAAAAGTTTCCATTTTTAAATGGCAAATATTGCTAGAAAATTCTTATTAAAGAATTTTTTGAGTAGCAAAAAACAGATATCAACCTTTTTTATCTAAAAAAAATATTAATTGTAATCTGAAAGTTTATATTTAGTATAATATACCTATATATTTTTTTTGTTGCAAAAAATCACAAAAATTATAACTTCAATATCACTCCCCTTATCCAAATGGAAATTAGCAGAGATTTAGGACCTGTATGTGACACAAACCTGACTGCCACAAATAAAACTGGAAATATAAAATAAAAACTTTTGAGAAGATTTGCTTTATCAATTCCCTAAAAAGAGTTTTTTTTTCCATTTTATTTTTTAATTCACAGCTATCAATGTCCACTTACAACCAGTGAATGAGAATACTAAATACAAATAAACAAGGAGAAAGGGCATGAGGAAGAGAAAAACCCAATAACTAATCCTCGGTCATGTTAGAGGTTAAGCCTAAAAAGAAGTTAAATTAATATTTTTTATTTTTATATAAATTAGGCCAATTATCGCCAAACATTTTATTGATACGCTATTTAATTTGATGTTTCGACCATACTAAGGGTCATTTTCAAGTCTTGATGAGTCCTCCATTATATATTCATCAAGACTTGAAAATGACCCTTAGTATGGTCGAAACATCGAATTAAATAGCGTATGAATAAAATGTTTGGTGATAATTGGCCTAATTTATATAAAAATAAAACCTCAAGACACCAAAATTAGGATAAATGAACAGAAGAAAGTTAAATTAATAAGTTAACCATAAGATTTGGAAGAGCAATAATTCAGATTTCCAATATTTGTATTAACATTAAATTAGATAGAAGAATTAAAAGTTAAGTTATTTCAAAATAAGTTTATATTTAATAGTTTTAAAGAATGCTAAAAAAGAATCTGAATTACTTTTTCAATATAAAAATTTACTTGGCGTACTTTATTGTAAGCATCTTTTGATTTTTGTGATTTATTAAACAATTTAATTTGTTTAATTTACACACAAAAAAAAAAAAAAAAAAGATTGATATATAATGATATATTCTAGCAATCCATGCAAAGCAAAGTCAAAAAACAAGAATATAAAAATATGTTGAAATGTTATCATTATTTTTTTTCTAGGCTTCTAGAGTGCGTTGGCAAGAACCCTCAGGGGTCTAATATTTTTTGGTCTGGTTAGTGAGATATGGAAAATGTTTTGAAACAATTTGAGCTCAAAATAATAAAGAAAAATATTGTATATATTCTCAAATTTTATTGGTTTCATATCATACCACTTGTAATATTGTGATCATATTTGTTGAATATAAACAGTCAAGTACATGAAAAACTAAAAATGTTAAAATCATAAATATATTTTAATTAGTAAAAAAAAAAAAGAAACAGACTACAGAAGTTGGAAAACCTATATTGAAGGAATATACTTGAATATCAACTTAAACATTTGTTGTGGATTGTAAGGAAATTTACTTCTACAAATATTCATACTTGGTGTATAAGTCAAGTGTTTTTCACTATACATTACAACTCCTGGTAAGCCCATTTCTTGGGAGGAAGGCTACCAACTACTAGACCAAGTTTAAATATTCGTAGATGTTGATTTCCCAAACATTCTATAAATATGGAGATACATTCCCTTAGAATAGATAGGATTTCTAGATTTCTGTAATCATATTTTTTTTATTAATTAAAATATTTTTTCTATAACAAGTTTAGCTGACTTAAAAATCATTTAGGAAAGGTAAAGCCCTTTATTTAAAAATAAACACATTTATTTCAATACATATAAATATTAAATGTATAAGTAACATAGTGAATCATAAATTTGTTACATGATGGAGCTAATATTTTTTAAACACATATTTTAACAGTAATACATTAATAAAGTTTTCTACATTTAACATATATATTATCAATATTAGATTATTTTCTGTTATAACCAATCATTTATAAGAGTACTTTTAAACATTCAACATATATGTCTATGTTAAAAATCTTCGTTTTATGTTTACTATTTACAGTAAAATGTAAATTTATTATATACATCGTATAATAACAATTTTAATTGATGATTACATGCATATTATTGTACAATAGCCTAATATTTGTTCTTAATGATTACAATAAGTTAAGCATTTGTACTGGTTAGTGCCAGTTAATTTTTTAATCAACGAAATTGTCAATGATTATCAACAATAAACACAAAAGTTAAATTCTGCTCAACATGTTATCTCAAACATTATTGTAAATTAGATTAAATTTGCATGGACAAATTGAAAATCAAAATGATAAAGGATTCTAGCGCCATGACAGGGAACAGAGAGGCTTACAGCTACATGATACCAATTGTTCGTTGCCTGTTATCAAAATATTTTTCCAAAAGATCACTTTAATGGCTATTATAAATAGAATTTTAATACAAAATATTAATAATGGAGATAAAATTGATGATTGAAGTATTCTAGATGATAATCAGAGGAGTGACCAGAAATAAAACACTCAATAATAACAATAAACAGTTAACAGAAAATCGTAACTTTATGTAATATTTCAGACCTAATTCCCAACCATAATTATCGGAAGTACAAAAAATATTTAATGAAAGCTATCAATCGAAAACAAATTAGGATTTGTGCAATTTTTTTTAGCAAAATAAATGAGACAAATGTAAACCCAACATCTTTATTAACAATTAAAGTATGCAATAAAAAATAAGGCTTTACAAGAGAAAGGATTAGCATGCTTACTTTTGGCAGAATTTAAAGTTGTTGATTAACGGAGTCAAGTCTTCAATTACCCATGAATTGATTTAAATAATTAATAAATTTAAAAAAGTTGTATGTAAATAAATTTGATAGGTTTATTTTCCATTCAATGTAAAATAAATAAGTAACAAAAATAAAATTGTAAAATAAGATTCCTGCCAGTTCAAAGCAGACAGTATAAAACTAAAAATTGTATTATCAGGATGAGTAGAAATTTAGACAGTTTTGATATAACTATAATACAAAAAGTCCATTTTATTTTAATAAACCTGCATACCAGTAAACATCTGAAGAAAAAAATTATTAGATAACATCAAGGAAACATTACTGTCCTTTTTTTAATTAGAGAGACAATTACAAAACAAGTAATATATTTTAATCTAAATCTGTATGTAACAATATTATATAAAATTTGTTTAACTGCCACAGCCGATGATGAAAATACATGCAAATATGTAACAAATTAAAAACGCTTAACCATTGAACAATATTGAATATCGATAATTAAATTATGTAACAATATCAATTTTACTTGATAAGAGAAGCTGGATTATACAATTTTACGTATTCTAACCTAGTTAATACATTAAGACATCCATATTCTTAGGTATAGAAAGATTTCAATTAAAGTATGTTAACAAATATTTTATTTCGAACTGTACAGCATAGATGAACATTCATTTAGCCTTTGATACACACATATGAATAGCTATATAGAAAATTATGTACATATATTTCATCCAAAAAATATAATTTTTGAATTCCCTGTAAAGTAGTACTTCATATTCTAAAATTAATGACTATGATTAACTTGTTACTTATTATTATATTTAAACTAAATCTTTTACAACTGATCTTTAATACACATAAATTATTTTATTTTATATGAAAATTGGATAGTTTTCTCCATAGTTGATAAATATTTTAACCGAACTTTAATTAATGTAATTTGAACTACTATAACACTTTCACTGATACTGTTTGTTTAAATTAATATAATATCTATATCAAATTTAAGAAAAATAAAATGATTCTTAAATAATTAGTCAAATTAATTAATTAAAACTACACTCTTAAAATAATTGTATATTACAATCTTTGAGTAACAATACTAGTATTAGTAAGTTTATACAATAAATACTGAATCTAATTTCCATTCAATCAGGTATTTTACTCTAGCCTGTGACTCCAATGCTTTGTAATCTCTGTCATTTTTAAAGTTTTCCTAGCGTTTTTTTGGATCACTAACATTCCAAAAATATTTTGAAAAATTAGTCAAGTTCATTTATATTTCTGTGTTATATTTAATTT